CTTGTTTAAACAAAAGATCCTCTGGGTAAACCCAGAACTCGATTAATTTCATAGACTTCACTATGGAAGATCCCACAGGATAATTCTATAGGGGGATGTGAACAAAATTAATGTATACACCAGAAAGCAAAGGAACAAGTAAAAGAAAGGGTGGCATTAAGAGTGGTGCACTTGTAGTAAAAAAGTAATAGGACCAAGTTAAGGAGTGGGTTAAACTGTTGGAAATTTCTGGAGGGGAGAAAGATAATGGTAGAGGGGAAAGAGCACCAAAAGTGCTCCAGGCTTGCCTTCCCCACATCCCCTGCAGAAAGAGTATATGTGACAGAAAGGCCTCCCTAGGCCCCTAGCATCTCAGGGATGAGAAAAATCAATGCCTTGAGGAGCAAGAGGTAGAGGAGGATCCCTTCAGCTCCTGAGTCAGAAGCTGCAGCTGGAAAAGAGTATCTTCTGTACCGCGATCTGCTGAGGACAATTCCTTCGTTGCAATAAATGAACAATTCCAGGTGAAATCTCCAGTCAAAGCAGGCCCAAAGAAGTTCACAGGAGGGGCAATTGAGGGAGGCAGTGTGCCTCAGGATTGGAAAATCTATTTCACTAGGCAGAACCCATCCTCAAGGCAGCACTGGGCTTCCAGAAACTCAGGACCCAAAAAGGAAGTGGGATTATGAGAATTTTTTTTTTATTTAAAATGGTGAATGGGGAAGACAGATGCCTCGCATGAGATCAGAATACAGGTATCCCAGTACAGCCACATTGCAAATGGCTCCATTTTGGAAGAAGACAGCTACTCTGAGAGATTAACAATGTGCAGGAAAGGCTCTCTTCTTCCATGAGGCAGATGTGGAGTGCAAGCTCAGGAGGGGACATTCCTGCCAATGGAGTTTACTCTCACAAGATTGGCCTGATGGTGGCATGGGGAGGCTGAACCAAGACCTCCCTCTGCCCTTCATAACTTGTGTCATTAGTGTCTGGTAAATTCTTTCACCTCTGTGGTATGTTCTTGGGCCATATGGTAGCCACAAAAATGTTTCTGGCACCACAGATAAACTTGCGTCTAAGTTTGGTAGATGTGGAATCAGTGTTGCTATCATCTTCAGTGCTCTATTAATTCTAGATTCCAAGAGATGACTTTATCTCCTGCTTCACAAATCACCAACAGAAGAGAAGTCCTTTAATTTTATGTAGCATCTGCCTCTTTATCCATCTTCTTCTCTTGCCCTCCATTGCCACGTTCTTCCTCAGGTCTAATCTATATCTTATTTTGGAATGCAGACACTCCGCTCCTCTCTCTGTTTTCTCCAAATCAGGAAATGATACCACTATCTACCCATTTGTTTAGGCTATCAATATTTATGAATTAATCTTCATAATTTTCTTTTCCTGAATCTTTCTTCCTCAACTAATTCATTGGCATGTTCAATTTACTTTAAAATTATTTCCTGAATATAACCCCTGTCACTGTTACTGCTGTGACTGAGGCAATCTAATAGGTTGCTACAATAACCTTCTCTATTTATTATAATATGTAACATTTGATTTCATATTAAAATATTAATAATTAATGAATAAAAATCTCCCCACTGCTAATTTTCTCTTATGTGAGCCTAATATCTATAAGCAGACAAAAAGATCATCTTAAAACAGACATCAGGGGCCTCCCTGGTGGTGCAGCGGGTTGAGCGCTGTGCTGTGAAGCTGTCCGCAGCCTCTGCAGTGCGATCCCTGCCGGTTGGTGAGAATCCCACATGGTGTGGCAGCCTCTCCTGTCACGCCCACTGCTCCCCTCAGCAGTGTGTTTCTGTCGTCTGTTCTGCTACCTGCTCTGTCTTTGGGAAACCTCTCACCTTCCCGCACCTTTGGCCTGTACCCCAGCTCTTGTATAAAAATAAAAATCTTTAAAAACAAACAAACAGACATCAGACATTTACTCCCCTGCTTAAAATGCTCCAGTGACTTCCCATTGCACTAAAAGTAAATTTTTTTTTAAGCATAGTGTGTAAAATTTATATAATCTGGTTTCAGCTTTCCTCTCTAATAGTATTTCATATCTCTTTCTTCTTCACTCACAACATTCCAGACACATGAATTTTCTTACAGTTTTTTACATAGACCAACCAGTTTCCTATTTAGGGCCCTTTGCCTGGCCACCTATCTAAATACCAACCTATTCCCCCAATATACTCTGTCAAATTTCTCTGCTTTATTATCTTTAGTGCCTTTATCACTAGATGATACTATTATTTATTAATGAGCTTATTTTCATATTGCCAGTCTAGCCCCAAATCTATAACTATAGTGAATAAGATGTTTGTCTGTTTTGTTCCTTGTTATTCCTATTAGAAAAATGCCTGGCACATGGTAGGTGCTAGGTAAATATTTATTGAATGACTAAGTGACAGGTGTCAGGGCTTCATGTAGTTCAGAAGATTCAGGAAGGATACTACTTCACTACGGTAACATTCACTGTTCAAGTGGCAAGAAGTCCTTTAATGATTGCGTGACAAACTGGAACACAGGAATCCCTTTAAATGCTGGGACTCCCAACACTTGGATTTAGTGTTAGGAACAATGCAGGAAGATACTATTTGGGATTAGTTGCTGGTTTTCATTTCTTCTGGGTTCCTTGGCCGCTCCAGCTCCTTCCTCTTATCACTTTCCAAGGTCCTGACTGGCCATAGTCCCCCCAGCCCTGTATTTAACTGTCTTAGAAGTTTTAAAATCTTTCTTTAACTTTGCTCTGGCAATCAAGGAGGGAAAGGAAGCATTTCTCCTTCTCCTAATGCTTCTACACTAGTAAAATAAAACAAATTAATCTTATAATAAATTATCAGTGATCACTCAAGATTAATATTATCTCAGGATTCAAGGGAACGTGCCTCCTTGTTCTGGGAAGACAGTGGCTAAAACAAATATTTGTAAGGGAGACTGGAAATTGTTAATGGTTCAGAGGCTAAAAAGAATAGTCAGTGAGAAAGAATTAAAGAAGCTAGTTGACTCACAGGCGGGGTTCAGTCACCCTGCATTTACAACTTTCTTCAGAGTACCTTCCTCCTTTGTCTCCCACTATGGCTGCTTGCACCTAAAGAAAGATGAACCAGAAAGTCAAGTTCTCTGTTTCTTAGGCAAAGGAGTAAAAGTTTGTTGAATGGCTATATAACCAGTGTATGACTCTGGTAAGAAGATTCAGGGAATAATGTACTGCTCTTACTGCTGTGACACTCACTTTGAAGGTCCTAAAAGGTTCCTGAAGGGCCAGAGTTTGATGATGTAATTCTCAAGAAAAGGGATTGTACACCCAGTTCAGGGAAATATCTTGTATTAGGTATCTATTGTTGTGTGACAAATTACTCCAAAATTTAGTGGCTTAGGAAACAATAAGCATTTGTTATCTCCCAGTTTCTGTAGGTCAGAAATTTAGGAGTAGCTTAGTTACTCTCATCAAAATAATAGCCTTTTAGAAATAATAACTGAGGCAGCACTGGATGTGGAAAAGAATGGAGACTAGTGATAGGACTGTCCCAACAGTTATTTATTAATGAGCTTATTTTCATATTGCCAGTCTAGCCCCCAAATGGATGTGACATGATTGAGCTAAAGAATTAAAAATACATAATTGTATTGAAAGTACACAGAATTTGAGTGTTTTGATAGAAATGTAAGTAAAAGTATATGCAAAAATTGGTTTTCCACACTTAAAATATTAAGATACAAATGTATTAAAATAAAGTCACATAAAATTATGATTTGTATGTCAAACAAATGCTTTAAAAATACAAATTGTTTGATAGTGCAGAAAAGTTTAGGGGGAACTCATCCTGTTTATGCTAAATTGTGACTCCATGTTATGAACCATAAATTGGAACAGAAAGCCAATAGGGACTTTCATACTACTAGAAAGGCAATTCCATTCTGATGAGTCTGGTGTATACTCCTGGGGTGGAGCATTGGTGACAGCCAAGCTTTGTTTGCTTGGCTTCGGTAGATCTGCCAAACAGTCCTCCAAGTGGCTGCACCAATTGACACTCCTCTCAGCAGCTGGGGAGAGTCCCAAAGCATCATTTGGCATTTTCCTTCATTTTCATTATAGGCATTCTGGTGGGCGTACGCAATGCTGCTTCTAAAACCAACACATCTTTAATTTTTCAACTCCTCTCTGGAACAGGAATCCAGCTTTTCCAGTCAATCCCCCATGGGGGCAGAAAGGATGGAAGAACACATTTCCGGAAGATCCACACCTGGGGCCCAACCACTAGGAGCAAGGCCACGCATCCCTGAGCACTGGGCTGCTCCTCTCCACTCCTGGCGGTGTCCTGCCTTTTCTCATCTCTGCTGGTTCAATTCCTGCTCACGCTGTAAGGGCTCGTCAGAGCTGGCTTCCAGAAAGCCCCTCATTCCTCCTCTTCCCCAACTTTGGTCTTGAAATTGGCAATGCATGGATGTGTGAAGTTGGGCAAATCATTAACCTCTCTCTTAACTTGTTTCCTTATCTGCAGTTTCCTTATCTGCAGTCATCTGCATTTCAGTAAAATTTAGTCGAAGTCCCTTTCTGAGTTGATGTTTTATGACCCCGATGTTTTCTGGCCCAGGGAACGAAGAAACAGAAATAGAAGGGCAGTACAGTAGGTCAGCCCACGTGTCAGAGCCAGAATAGAAGCCCACACCTTGCAGAGGTCCATGTGCGTCTCATCTGCGTGTCTCGGAAGAAACTGCATCCTCAAATATCTACCCTATTGGGTTGGCCTGAGGCACCCTTGCGCAAATCTATTCGCAGGGGTGCTACTTGAGACCACGCAGCCCTCCCCGTCGCCCAAGGTGGTGCAAACCCCCCCATGGGTTCTTAAAGACGGCGGGCCCTTCCGGGGTTTCGTGTCGAATCTGCCGGCGGCAATCGCACGCCGCGTCGGCGGGTGGGGAATGTGCGGCTGCGCGCGCGCCGCGGCGTTTACGCGGCGATTTCATCATGTTCGGGGCCTGGCCGCGCGCGCCGCTTCCGCCGCCGCCCCCTCCCGACCGCCCAGGGCCGCCGGCTCATGCCCTCTCCGCGCCCGGCGCTGCTTAGAGCCGCCCGCGCCGCTGTGCTGCTGCTGCTGCCGCCCCGACTCCCCGCCCGGCCTCCGATCCCGCCCCGCCGGCCCCTCAGCACGCCCGCCCGCGTCCCGACCTCTGTGCCCGCCGCCGCCGCCGCCGGGAGCAGCATGGACGGCGCCGGGGCTGAGGAGGTGCTGGCACCTCTCAGGCTAGCCGTGCGCCAGCAGGTACCGGCATTTTGAGCCTCTCCCCGACCCTCGGTTCTGCTCCCGCTGGGCATCCCTGGTCGTCCCCGCTCCTCTCCCGGCACCTGCCCACCTTGCCGGTTACTCCTCTCCCTTCCTCCTCTGGGAGCTCTTGGTTTCTTGGCATCTTCCTCGCCTCCCCCACTTTGGATGCAAGTGCCCGGGTGCGGTGGCCACCATCTCCGTCCTCCGCTCTCCTTGGGTAACCCCCTCGGATCCCCTCGCCATCTATTCTTTCCCAGTCCTTGTTACTACTGCTCGAGCTTCTCTCCGTTGGGGCTGCAATCCCTGACACTTTGGTTCTCCTCTTGCCCTAACCCAATGACCTCAGCTTCAGTTTTCCAGTTTCTGCTGTGTGCTTTGTGCACCCTGGGTGGTGAGGTTCCTAATTTTCCTCCCGCCTCCCCTCCCGCCCCCGGTCCATTATGAGCCAAAGCAAACCATTTCGCTTTTCTTATGGCTATACTCTTTTTTAGAAATCTTCAGGATGCTTTAAATAGTGTTTCTTTCTTTACATCTTCCTTTATTCACTGCTTGCTTAGCCGAATGATCGGCTGAGAAAATAGAGATAGTTGACATGTGGGGAGGTGTTCAACTTTTTCTTCTAATAATGATGTGAGTTCATCGTCCTTCGCGCTTGTCATCTCTTCGGGATTTCGAAAGGACCACTTGGAGTGAGGGAGCTTTCAGTTCGTAAACCTGGGATCCTGTTAATGTTGCTGAGTTACTCGGTGAAATTAGTCATCCTTAGTGTGGAACATTTTGAAATATGATTTTTCTGGAAGGGAGGAGATTTCATGGATTAAAGGGCTCCGTGGTTTAATCCAGGCCGCCTTTTCCTAGGGCACTGTATGGATATCAGAATTAAGAAGGGACAAGGAAAGAATTTTCTTTCAAATGAATCTCACATCCAGTTAGGTAAAACCAAAAGCTTGCAAGAGAACCCGGGAGATCCCTGACCTAGTAGTAAACACCAAACGGGTTTCTCCTGCACGGGTGCCTGATGCAATAACTTAACTAGGGAGGAACCATCTCTCTTCGAAATAATTCATTGGGGGCAGAACTGTGCAAATCCAACAAATTCTGTCCTTTTACAGTGTCTTCTTGTTCCTACTTTGAGCCTGACTGATTAAGTCGTGTTTTATTTTTACATTTTACTTTGGGCTTAGTTTTTTTCTTCTTGTTTGTTCAGAATGCTGTGTGTTCTTACTCTCCATCTCATTTCACCCACCCTCTCCCATATAAAGTTAGGTGTGGTTCCTTTGTCTTTTTTATAACTCTCAATTTTTCTTTCACATCCTTCACTTTAGAAGGGAGAATACATCTAATTTGGAAAAACATACACTCAAACCCCTCCCTCTGCCACGTTAGCCTGGAACTGCAGTGCAAATTGTCCATCTGCAGTAGGACTGTGAAACTGGTTAACTGAAGTAAACTTTGATCATGAAACAACATTTTGATGATGTTACTATCTTGTGTATTGTTTATGTTGGCTTTGTTGTTAATTTTGTGTGCTTTAAGATACTTTTCTGGATATGTAAGTTAGTTTATGTAACTTAGGTAGGGTTTTTCTTTAATTTTCCAGGGCCACACATATTTCAGTACTCTGGAACTTTGAGTCACACTGATTCTAGTGTCAGTTGGAAGGGACTGTAAAAAATTAAGTCTCTCCCTTACTTCCACCTTTTTTTGCTTTTTGCTTATGAGGGGAACAAGATATACTGTCACCTCTATGCATTTTACATATTTCCATTGTAAAGTTTGTGCAATTGAAGATGTCCTTAGAGTGAAATTTTTAAGATGTTTAACAACTGGACTTGTTAGTGGCATGTGGTTGATATAAATATGTTTATATATATTTCCTTACCTGCTATGCCACATGGATACAATTGGTTTGTTGACTGAAATATATTTTCACATGGCATAATCATACTTATTTCCTGGAGAAATAAGTAGCACAATTAAGCTGCTTTTTAAAAAATGGAAATTAGGAAAGTGTGGCCAGCCTTTATTTTGCTGAATAAGGGCATTAAAAAACACAGTGCAACAAACTGCCCTCAGATTTCCCCCTTTATCTCATAAAGAAGTTTTAATGCACACACAAAAAAGGCAGATCAAAACTCAGAATAAAGAACAATCTTTATATTTAGTAGGCTTATCCTTGGAGGTTCCCAAGGTCAAAGCCATTTTCATAGTAAAGCTGTGATGTTTTTTGCATTTTTCACTATATTGATATTTGCACTGCAAAAGCATTGGTGGGTAAAACTGATGGCCATTAGCACTAATCTACTCAGGGACACCCTACTAAGTATTTATATTCTTTGCCACACCCTAACAGTTTAAAAAAGTCAATTTTGCTTTAGTGTCCTTAAAGATAAAGTAGTAAAGATGACTAATTTTTTTAAATCTAGACTTTGCACATACATTTTAACAATATTCTGTCTGATGAAATAGGGAAATGCATAAAGCATACTAAAATGTGATGATGACCTCAGGAAGAATATGTGTGTGACTGAGTTGCAAGTTGAATTTTCTGCTTCTTTTCATGGAACACTGTTTATAAGATGTTTGACAAGATATTAATTCAATCACGAGTATTGGGTATTCATTTTCTCAAAAATGAGTGAAGCTTTTCATTGCAAGAAGACAACTGGTAGTATTTGTGACCAGTAATAAAAATAAAATTGGGAAATTTTAGAATTTGGGGAAACTTGTTATTTGTTGCTGTGAGTGAGAACATCACAGTGCTTTAAGACTTCTGATAGGATGTGTGGTAATATCAAAATGTAGTTATTTGGTTACTGTGTAATAAATAGACCAGTATTTGGAAAATCTGCAAAACATAGTTAACCAGTATTTCCTGATGACCAATGCATGATATTATAAATCAGGTATTGGTGAAAGATGCATTCAGAATCTATGATACATTAATAGATTTAATGTAACAGTACAAAAAGTTCATTGCAGGGCCTCCCCGGTGGCGCAGTGGTTGAGCGCTCTGCGGCGCCGGTTCGATCCCCAGCTGCTCCCCGGCCACCAGAGGAGGGTCCCACATGGCGCGCAGACCTCTCCTGCCGCCTGCTGCTCCCCTCAGCAGTGTACTTCAGTCCTTCTGCCTGCTCTGCTCCCCGCTCTGGCTCTGGTGAATTCTCTCACCCTCCTGCGCTTCTGACTGTACCCAGTGCATGTATAAACAAACAAACCAACAAATAAATAAATAAATAAAACATGCCTCTATTAAAAAAAAAAAAAAAAGTTCATTGCAGTGGTTTTCAATTCCAAATTGCAGCCCCCAGAAGCACTTTAATAAATTACTACTTGTCAAAGGTTTAGTTTATCAAGGAAGAAATATCTACAGTTAATTTGAAAAGACTTAAAGTTCTCTTCCCTGTTCCAGCTATGTAAGATTTTCTTCGTATACTTCACCCAAAATCTGTCTTCTAAGCTAGAAATGAAAGAGATTTGCAAAATTATAAGATTCAGTCTCACTGCTTTTGTTTTTATTTTAGATAACAGTTATTTTTACAAAAATGATATTTTTATGCATATTGTCACATTACTGAGTTTTTATTGTTACTTTATATAAATCAATGTTTTTTAATTTCCATTTTAATTTCTAAGTTAAAAATTGATAGAAATGGCCTCCATTAACAAAAGCATTTTGGTCTCCTTAGTGATTTTTAACAGCAACAAAGGAATTCTGAGGCCAAAAAGTTACAGAACTGTTGCTTTAGGGGAACGGAAGTATCTGATTTGTAAGGTGACAGATTTGGACTGCTGTTTGAACACAGCCTCCAGAAGCTCCCATTCTTTCAGACTGCTTTGTTTTTTCCCTTTACAGTCAAAGGTTCCCTAAAGTTTCATTGTTTCTACTTTCTCATTTCCCATTCATTTTCCTATCTGCTTCTCTCTGCCTTGGATATCTACCACTGCCTTGCCTAGTACTTTAATGGGTACTTTTCTTCCATCATTCTTTTACCTGTCTTCAGCATTTAACTGTGTTGATCACACTCTCCTGTCAAAAAGTAGTCCATCACCATATCACTTCCCTTGCCCCCTGCCTTGGCTTTGTTTAAACACTGAATGAGATCTATAGGTAAAGAAATATGTGCTTCAAAATCTTATAGTGTAAACAGGACTAGTTGAGATGACTTTTACTGATCTGAAGACTTAGGAGTCATTGGGGTAGGGGTTTGGTAAGATATTCGCAGTTGCATTGTCTGGACTTATAAGGCCACCTTGAAATGATTTAGGTCCATCTATACTAGGCAGATGATAGAGCTTGATGCCCCAACAAGGAATCTAGTATGGAGAAAAATAACCAAAAGGATTTTTTTAACCTATAGTGAACTTAACAATTGTCAAGATAGGAGAGGTTTTGAAGACTTGCTAAATGTGCTTGCCTATTTTTGTGTTGCTCACCTCATAATGAAAAGTGTAGACTGTGAGATTTTATTTTCAGAGTTTGAACCTAACTCTATTATCTACTATCTAGTGACCTGTAGCAAATTATTTAACTTTTCTGTAGCTAAGTGTCTTCATCTGTAATATGGGGACAGAGTTATTATAGATATTAAGATGCAATAATTCATGGCAAGTGCTGAGAATGTTGCCCATTGTGGGGCAACATTCTGAAATGACTGTGATTTACTGTATTGCTGGCTTTACCAAACCATTGCTGATGTGGAGTTCACATATTTTCTTGTGATTCTGGTTTTGATAACATTTTGAACCTTTATGAAAGGATTGTGTCTTCTGAGTTTCGTAATAATAGAAATCTTTTTAATGATTTCTTGGGAGGTCTTTTAAGTGATGATTTATTGTCTAAATCGCTAAGGTTAGGAGTGGTTGTGATAGGGACCTCCCTGGTGGTGCAGCAGTTGAGCACTGGGGTGTGAAGCTGCCCGCAGCCTCTGCAGCGCAGGTTCAATCCCTGGCCAATGGGCAAGGGTCCCACATGGCACGCAGACCTCTCCTGCCTCCCGCTCCTCCCCTCAGGAGTGTACTTCGTCAGTCTGCCTGTTCTGCATCCCGCTCTGGGTCTGGTGAATTCTCTCACCCTCCTGTGCTGCTGACTGTACCCAGTACTTGTATAAATAAATAAATAAATCTTTAAAAAAAAAAAAAAAAAGAATGCTTGTGAGAAACATTATTTGTGTTTTCAGCATTTCATATTTTCTTTTACTGTAATTGGGAAGACACAGATGAAATTCAGATCTTAGTAGTTGTAAGATGGCTTAGAATGAAGAGCTCTGGACTTTTCTCTGCTTTGATTTTCTGAACTGAAAATGCCCATTAAAACTCTTGTTTAGGTCCTTCTTGGTGGCGCAGGGGGTTGGGATGCAATCTATGAAGCTAACCACAGATTCTTCAGCGCGAGTTTGATCCCTGGCCAGGGAGCAACCCATCCCCGGCCCGGGTGCAACCCACGTGGCGCAGCAGCCCTCTCCTGGCTTGCCTGCTGCTCCCCTCGGCAGTGTATTTCAGTCAACCTGCCTGTTCTGTTCCCCATTCTATCTTTGCTGAATCCTCTCACCCCCCCCCACCCTTGCACCTCTGGCCTGTACCCCCATTATTGTATGCATAAATAGGTGAATCTTTAAAAAAGAAAAAACAAAAAAAAGAACTCTTGTTTAATCCACAAAGCACAAAAGAGAAGCCTGTGAAGTTTCTGTTAATGGTTATAAAAGAACTGGAAATCTGAGGTGAACTCATTAATCCTAATAGAAACTCTCCACATGTGTAAAGCTAAACATCTTTAAAAGGTGAAGAAATGTTTCCTTGGTCAACTGAATATATACCAAGACACATGATCCATGAGTAAGATCCCTTAGAATGATTTCTTGCTGATAATTACTTTGCTTTATAATCCCATATTCTGAGTGCTAGTATTTGTCTTAATGGTAAACATATACAGGAACTATATTTCTAGTTGATGTTTCTTAAAGATTATTTAGCGATATTGGTGATGTTTCATATCAGCTTCATACAGCACACAAATACAAAAATATAATTGGGTAGCTGAGATAGAAGGAAAATAATTAGAAATTAGGAATTCTTAAGTACTTTTCATTCCATGTTTAGATCACTTGTAATTCTTTGTTTTTAGAATTGGATCAATATTAATTATGGGTTTAAATATTCCGTTGGTTAGAATCAACACAATTATTTCCATTCTTCACTGAGTTTTTAGTGCTAGATGACTCTCTGGGAATGTTTCCTTTCACACTGCTTCCATGTGCTGTAGCTAGTTTCTGCTTGAATCTACATATGTCTAATTCTATGCCTGAATTTAAAAGACAGAAAAGTGATTCAGGGCCATTACTTTTAAATACTACTTCTGTCTTTACTTGCAGTTGTAGTTGTAGTGTCTTAGTTACAGTGTCCTTTAGGGACTCCAAAAGAAAAGGTAGATGATATATGTAGGAGTCCCAGTACTTGACACACTGGGTAGACATTCAGAAAAGCTACTTACTTACTTTCAGATATTTGAAAAGAACTACTTGCCAACTTCTCTTCAGAACACAGGTTCTCATAGAATTTTTATCGCCATCAAAAAAACACTGTTTTTAAACATTTGTGAGGTAGATATTCTGACATGTAGAAGAAGGGGGGGAAAGCCACTGAAAGAGTAAAGAATAAATCAATAGATAATTTGCTGACTAATAGATGCTTGATGCTATTGTTAGGTTTAGGTTGTGATGTCAATCAACAAATATTTAAGTGGCAGAATTGACATGCTACAATCCCTGTCTTGAGAGACTATTTTAAGATTGGGGGAGATAAAATGCATTTAAATAAATAAGCCAGTCCATTTGTATGGTGATTTTAGGTATTGTAAGTGCAGTGAAGCTAAAGTAAAGTTGGAAAGTGAAGAGGATATTGCCTTAGCTAGAGAGGTCAGGATAATAGAATAAAATGTGGGCCTCCCTGGTGGTGCATGGGGTTAAGCACCGCACTGTGAAGCAATCCGCAGCCTCTGCAGCACGAGTTCGATCCCCGGCCAGAGAGAAACCCACTTGGAGCAACCCACATAGCACAGCAGACCTCTCCTGACTCGCCCGCTGCTCCCCTCAGCAGTGTATTTCAGTCTATCTGCCTGTTCTGCTCCCCACTCTGTCTCTGGTGAATCCTCTCACCCCCCGCATCTCTGGCCTGTACCCCAGCTCTTGTATGCATAAATAAATAAATCTTTAAAAAAAAAGAATAAAGTGTGCTATTGTAATAACGGGCCAGATTTAATTTGTATATGATAAGAGAATGAGAGGAATAATAGGTTCAGTGGCTCTCAACTGTATCAGAACTGATGTCCCTTTTATTGGAGATGTTTTGGAATTCCCTATTACTATGATATAATGAAATTCAAAGAAAATAACTATATAAATCTAACTGAAGAAAAATATGTGCATATACAGTGCTCTAAATGGAGTGATACAAATAGAGGCATGTTTATTTATTTATTTATTTGTTTTGTTTGTTTGTTTGTTTTGTTTATACATGCACTGGGTACAGTCAGAAGCACGGGAGGGTGAGAGAATTCACCAGAGCCAGAGCAGGGAGCAGAGCAGGCAGAAGGACCGAAGTACACTGCTGAGGGGAGCAGCGGGCGGCAGGAGAGGTCTGCGCGCCATGTGGGACCCTCCTCCGGTGGCCAGGGAGCAGCCGGGGATCGAACCAGTGCCGCAGAGACCACAGGCAGCTTCGCAACCCAGCGCTCAACCACTGCGCCACCGGGGAGGCCCTGGAGTGATACAAATAAATAAAACGTAATTTATAAGAATATTTCAGTATGCAAATTTGAAATAAGCAGATGTTTATATATGTGTATATAGATAGAATTACTGTAAATGCAGTTGCTGTAAATGATTTTGATTAAGGCATATTCATTAGTTTAGTTTCTAACTGGGACCTTCTAAAGCATAAAGTGACTGCAGGAGAGGAGGGTGACTGTCATTGAATAAAGGGAAGAAAGTAGGAACTTGGAAAATGTCAACAGGGGAAAGGCAATGACAGACTCCTAATATTTTTTTTTTTTGAAGATTTATTTATACAAGCACTGGGTACAGTCAGAATTGTGGGAGGGTGAGAGAATTCACCAGAGGCAGAGCGGAGAGCAGAACAGGCAGACTGACGAAGTACACTACTGAGGGGAGCAGCGGGCAGCAGGAGAGGTCTGCGCGCCATGTGGGACCCTCGCCCGGTGGCCGGGGATTGAACTGACTTTGCAGAGGCTGCGGGTAGCTTCGCAGCCCAGCGCTCAACCGCAGCGCCACCAGGGGAGGCCCCAGACTCCTAATATTTTTATAGGATCTAATTCTGTTGTCATTTCTGCTGAGTCTCACTCATGGTAACTTGTTTCCTCGTGGATTTTTAAATTTTGAGTTTTGTGCTTTTTGTTGTGGTGACTAATCTGTGAACATTGTAGACCTATGTGGGAGGACTGCTCTCCCTTCAACTCCAGAGAGCAGTTGCTTCTGTTGGGTATCCAAGAGTTCTGTCAATTTGATAACTCTAGTTTTTCAGCTTGAGGTTTCCAGACCACGTAGGTAGTGTTTTTGTTTTATAGTTTTCCCAGAATACTCATGCCACCACATTAGTAAGGAAATCAGTGTGCAGGCGGTAAGTTGTTGAAATTGAATGAAGTATCTAGAAAAATTAGTAAGGTGAAAAATTCCAACAATTAAGAACAGGAAGATGAGCCAGAAGTGACTGAGAAGAAATGGTCAGAGAGAAGTAGGTGGACAACTAAGACTGTCATTTTTTGTTAAGAGAGGAGAGGACTCAAGGACAGGTAGTCTATTTATTGGTTCTTCTGTGGGCTAAGTACTAATCTTGCTTATTCCTACTTTTAATCAATACTCTTTTCCCCACTCCTTCCCCCCAAAAGAAAAAAAAAATCAGTGATAGTCACCTGGTAAGCAGTTATTTATGAACTTATGTGGATATTATATGGGTTGTAAATGCCACAGGCAAAGACCTTCAGTTATTCATAATGACCTTTCACACAACAAAAAATTATATTTCCTCAGTCTTACACAGATTTTTAAAAGGCATGAATAAAAGCACACTTATAACTTTTGTTGATTTCTGAAACCAATCCTGAATAAGAAATTCTCTTTTTTTGTCTAGGGAGATCTTGTTCGAAAGCTCAAAGAAGGTAAAGCACCCCAGGTAGATGTAGACAGAGCAGTAGCTGAGCTTAAAGCCCGGAAGAGGGTTCTGGAGGCAAAGGTGAGTCTTGGGATCCTAAAATAGAACCCTAAGCAGGTATAGGATTGTCTATTTTTATTGAGCAGGAGAGAACTATAAAAGTTTTTGAGCAATAGCATTTATTTTATCCAGGTGCTTTTTCCTTCCCTGCTTAGCACACTCCTTTCAAAGAACATCTCAAAATATCACCTTTTCTGTGAAGCTTCCCTCACCCCTACCCACACCTCCTTCCCCCAGACTCAAATCAAGTACTTATTACTCCCCATGAAACCACTGTGCTCTTCTTTATGAATTCTCCTATGCCTGGAAATAATGTTTTTGTTGCTTTTAAGCTTTTTTTTTTAAAGGAAAAATTCTATCGTTTAGTACCTGCTCCCACCATCAAACTGAAATAGTCTGGAGTTTCAAGTCACTATTTTGCTATCGTGATCACTTTAGTTTCAGAAATTATCATAAACTTTTCTAAATAATTAGGTAATAGTCTCTTTTCTGTAACGCAAGGTAAAAACCCTAGGGTTTCTGTTGTACGAGCATCAAAATCTTGTATGTTTGGTAAATTTTATACTGAATTCTGCTTGTAAATAAATATCATGTATGTAAATTCAGGTTCTTATTCACACCTTTTCTTTTTAAAATTCCCTTATAGGAGCTAGCTTTACAGCCCAAAGATGACATTGTAGACCGAGCGAAAATGGAAGATACCCTGAAAAGGAGATTTTTCTATGATCAAGCTTTTGCTATTTATGGAGGTAAGGGATTCATGGCAGAAAGAAAATTTTATCAGTGACTAATATTGTTCTTAAATCAGAAAAACAGCTTGGTATCTAATAATACTAATGGTACCTATAAATAGTTGATACCTGATTGTATGAAGTTATGTAAAGCAGAGAATATTTTGTTTTTGTTTGTTTAGAGTAAGCCATTTGGTGTAATATCTGTTCTTATTTCCCTATAACCTACTTATTCTTGAGGGCTGCTTTTTTCCATTAAAAATGTAGGGAATTGTTGAAGGCCCAGGCATTGAGTATTTGATAGATCCACATACATATTAGATAGACATCTTAAAATGCAACATGGTCTCTGGAGCAGTAGAGGGCCTTTGTCGCACTGGTGGAATGTACTATATCCTTCCACACAAGGGCAGTGATAAACCGGAGTTCCTAGCTCACTTTTTGTGACCACTAGAAAACCATCTTCATAAGTATATAGAGAAATCTCTACATCTTTCTGAATGATATATGAAGGTGGGTATAATTCACTGAAGAAATATTTTAAGATCTTTTTATCATATTTTATTTATTTTTTAAAATTTAATATTTATTTATTTATTTATTTATTTATACAAGCACTGGGTATAGTCAGAAGCGCGGGAGGGTGAGAGAATTCACCAGAGCCAGAGCGGGGATCAGAACAGGCAGACTGAAGCAATACACTGCTGAGGGGAGCAGCAGGCGCTGGCAGGAGAGGTCGGTCACGCCATGTGGGACCCTCTCTGGTGGCCTGGGATCGAACTGGTGCTGCAGAGGCTGCCAGCAGCTTTGCAGCCCAGCGCTCAACTGTTGCGCCACTAGGGGAGGCCCTATTTTTATCATATTTTAATATAAATGATATTTTGTATAGTTAACAGAGAGCATTGTAACACTAATAGACTTTTAGTACTTTGAGTCAATTTAATACTTAATTCAAGTTTGTCTAAGCATCTCTATAAATGTTTAATTTCTTGAACTTTAAATAGTGACTCAAATACCCAAGAATTAATTAATTAGATCGTTGTTATCAGCTTATGCAACAAGTTATTTTCTAATATCTGTGGTAGAAAACTATATTATGCTTCATCATTCTGATCCTTGTGGAAGAACTTACTTTGTTTTTAGTTTTTTGCTAATCCTACTTTAAAATTCCAAACTTGGGAAATTGTAAATGGAATGACAGCTTATTAATTTTCTTCTGCCAGCTATCTGGAAGTAAGGCTATTCGTGTTAAAGGATTTGAGTGTCGACTTAGTGCATTTTTAGGGAGTTTAGGAAGACTTACAGGTATTTGTTTTGTCCCCTTGCTTTGATTTGTTCAGAGAGACAAAATAAAGTACATATTTTCTTTTTGTATATTCAGGTGTTAGTGGTCTGTATGATTTTGGGCCAGTTGGATGTGCTTTGAAGAACAATATTATTCAGACCTGGAGGCAGCACTTTATCCATGAGGAACAGATTCTAGAGATTGATTGCACCATGCTCACCCCTGAGCCAGTTTTAAAGTAAGATTTCTGCTTTGAGGACCAAAATTCTATGATATGCAAATTTAAGTAACTTTTTCTGATTATAAAAACTACTTGTGTTTATTGTTAAAATCTGGAAAATAAAATCACAGAGAATATACATCTGCTGCCTATAGAATGCCCTGTTAAAAGTGTTGTATATATCTTTTTTTTCTATAAGTTCATATATATATATATATATATATATATATAAAACGCACACACAAAGGAAATAATCAGGGGTATCCACAAAACATCTATCAGGATATTTAATATAGGCAAAACTTAGGAACAGCTGAAATTTCTACAACATGGCACTAGCTACATAAATTTTGCCTCATCCATAAAACAAAATAGTGTTCTAATTAAGAATCTGTATGTATATATGTGTACATATATTGATATGACATTGGTGTCAGTGTTTTATCAATGTTTTATTAGCTTCTGACCTTTCCCCCCATAATGTCAGTGAATATTTACTTACATCATTGTCTTTTTAGAACATTCTTAATCACAGTGTTACATTCTATTTTATAGAGGTACCAGAATTTATTTAGCTAATGCCATGTTGTAGGAAGTCTGAGTTTTGACTGCAGTAAACATCCTGATAGATGAACTTTTGTGGATAGGCCTGATTATTTCCTTAGTATAAGTTCATAGAAGTTCTGGGCAAAAAGATGTGTGGTATACCTTTTGAATAAATACTATTGTTTGAGGTTTTAATGTAAAAGTTTAGATTATTCCTACCAGGGCCAGATTTTTTGACCTAAAACTATGAAAGAATAATTCTTACCACTTTATTTTAAGAATTAATTCATTTGATCACTTTATTTAATATTGCCTAGTAAAGAGGTAATTTTCATTGTTTGTATCCTTCAGACTCTCTCAATAATTTCAGCCAAGGTGAATTCCTAATAATGATTCTAAAATATCAGAACAGATTGTTTTTTAGTTACTTGTTCTGCTAATAGGAACTGTATAGGGATAATACCAATACTCTTATACATTTTACTGGCAGAAAACTCTTTCCTTAAGGATCAGTGTTTATATGAGTTATTGTGGATTCTTGCCTGCTCACATTTCTCCTGGTTTTCACCTTTTCTTAGATCACAATAATAATGGGATAGACATGGATTAATCGATTCTGCAAAGTAGCACAGACTTAAAAAGTATAATCTCATTGATACCTTTTTTCATATGGGAAGGGAGAATTTAAGGAGAGAGAATAGATTTGAGGAAGAATTTTCTATGCCACAGAGTATTATCTACCACAGATGTATTATAGATATGGGAGCGTCCATCTTTCAGATGCACAGATATAAATCAGATAGAGAAATATATAGGAGGGGCATTGTCATATAAGGTAAATTCTATGGGTTAATTGTAAAATGACAAGTGGACTTGGTGTTTGTTAATTTAGGACTTCTGGCCACGTAGACAAATTTGCTGACTTCATGGTGAAAGACGTTAAAAATGGAGAGTGTTTCCGTGCAGACCATCTATTGAAAGGTATGGTTCTTCCTTTCAGGTAAATATGCCTTCAAGTAGGGTTGATCAAAACAAAGGGTTTAGATTAAACTTTTCTCAAATTATTTTTACAGTTTCTTTCTTGATAAGTATTTGTATCAATTGCCTTATTTAAAATAAAAAAAAAAAAATTACAAGCAACTAATTAGACATTCCAAGTCAGCAAAAGGATCAAGGCATTATGATGACTGTCTCTGTAAAAGCAGTCATGGGATTCATATAAATTAAGAGCATTTTCCTAGGGTTTTTTTTTTTTTTTTTTGGCCTGTTCCACATTAAAACTCAAACTTTTCATGTTGATTGAAATTGACATGTACCAATGCTTTTCTGACAGCTCATTTACAGAAATTGATGTCTGATAAGAAGTGTTCAGCTGAGAAAAAATCAGAGATGGAAAGTGTCTTGACCCAGGTGAGTTCTTGAGAAAACTTTATCACAGTATCTTGAGTGTTTGTTTCAGGGCATGATAACTTGAATTCCACACTGTGCTGACCCTGTTCACAGTGCATTTTTACTTTCTTTTCTCTATCTTTGGTGGCTAACCCTTTATTTCAACCAAAATTAGCAAGTCTGTGTAAACAGGTGTGAAATTTGTTTTCTGTCCTTGGAAATTAGTTTTGTGGATTTAATAGCAAAAACTAGAGGAGTGTGTTCAGTGATGAGTAGTGTTCAGTGTTGATGTGGAGACGTGGGGGCAGATATCTTTATGAGTACATTCTCATCAGTGACTTGATCTGCTTCTAGTTTCACCTTCCCTGATAAATGCTATTATACTTAGAACCTGATGACCATATAGAACTAAAGTTTTATCATTTGTATTTAAGGTGACAAGTTTATGAACAACAATAGAGACCGTAGGGATAATATATGACTTTCACCAAGTGTAGGAATACTTTCCATATCAAGGGTAGTTCTTAGGCCTCCCTGGTGGTGCAAGGGGTTAAGCACCACACTATGAAGCAATCATAGCCTCTGTAGCATGAGTTCGATCCCCGGCTGGCCAGGGAGAAACCCACATGGCAAGGCAGACCTCTCCTGTCTTGCCGCTGCTTCCCTCAGCAGTGTATTTCAGTCAGTCTGCCTATTCTATTCCCCGCTCTATCTCTGGTGGATCCTCTCACCCACCTCCTCTCCCCGCCCCACCCCCCACATCTCTGGCCTGTACCCCAGCTCTTGTATGCATAAATAAATATATCTTTAAAAAAAAAAAAAGTAGTTCTTGTCCTGGCTCACAGTTCTCTTTAAGAGTATGACGAAAACTGCACATCTCTGCCCCAGGAAGATGCATGTGTATGTGTATATGTTGCTGCTTTCTTAACGTCATTTATCCATTTAAGCAAAGTACATTTTCTTCATAGCTTGTTTGGTCGTGAGGTCTATCAAGACTCACCTCTTCAATTTTATTTACTTTCTTAGGTTAAAAAAAAAAAAACAATGTTGTATTTATACATCCTTTCTTTACATTTTCTATATATATGTGAGGTTGAATGTAGGATTCTCTAACTCTTTGCTTTTGCTTTTGTGAGAATTACTGGAAACTTTTCCACTATTGCCCTAATTTTTTGTGAACATGTTTTTTGAACATGTGATGTCTGAGAAATTTTAACATTAGCTGAGAAATTTCCTCCTTCCTCTTTTGAATTGAAAATCATCTTAGTCTGACTGTTGACTCGTTTGCAGATTTATTTTGGTCCTTGTGAAGTATATTTTGTTCCTTGCTTGTAGCTCATTGCTTTAGTATGGTTTCTCATGGTGTAGAAAATCAGTTCTTGTGTTTTGATACTACTATACTCACACATTCAGTTTTCATTTCCTTCCTCTTCCAAATGTATGACCTGTGTTAATAAAGAAAGAAGAAATGAAAAGAAATGCCATGAATTACGCTGAATTATTATGTTTCCCATACAGAATTTTAGATGTATTAAGGTTTTGTGTGTAGATATCTGAGTCTATGGTTTTAGCAGTTTCATTCATTTCCACATAAGTTGTCAGAAGCAGGAAAAATTATTTGATTTGTTAGCCGTAATTTATAGCTTTTATACTGACTTTCTAGGAGAGCAATTTGTTTTTTCATTTGTCATATCAAATAACCATAGAGCTGTCAGTATAATCTTCAGTGAAAAGTTAGGGACCTGTTGGAAATTGTATAGTAATCAGAACACTTGAGCACACAAACACATTTTCTGTATCTGTTAATGCATGTGACTCCTTTAAAGCTGTATGAAGTATGAGCGTTCCTTTAAAAGGCATTGATTCACCCTCTATGGTAGGAAGAATTTTACTCCTGTTATATGGTTTCAACAACTCAGAATTCTCCTTTCTCTTCACTGTTCATTTGTGCTAACCCATCACTGGATGTACCATGTTTTGAAGTCATTGTAAAACTTTTTATATTGAAAAATTCAAAACATTCAAAAGTAGAAGATGGTATAAAAATTATGTGTATACCCTCCAGCCTGCTTCAGTATTAACAGATTTTGTTGAATCTATTCCCTATTAAATTCCCTGCCTTCCCATGAATTTTTTGAAGTGCATGTCAGTTATCATTTTATTACACCTGTAAATATTTAATTATGTAGCTCTAAAAGATAAAGATTTTTAAAAAATAAACCTCCTTGCTCTCACCTTGGTAAATATTAATAATTTTTAAAATCAAATAGTGTTTACATTAACTGATTTAAATGTTTACTTTTTTTGGTATTTGATTTGGAATCCAGATAATGGCTGTACTTTGGTTGATATATTCTTCTATTTCTTTTGATCTGTAGGTTTTTTTAAATCTCTTTTTTTCTTACATTTTCATTAAAAAATTTTAAGTTGAGACATTTGTTCCTTAGTGTTTTCTGCTGCCTAGATTTGGTTGATTGCATTATTGTAGTCATATTTCACACGTTCTTCTCCATATATTTTTAAAATTTTGTAGTCTGATCTAGAGACTTGAACAGATACTTTTGGCAGGACTCTTGGTAATGGTTTTAATGAGCTAGAGCCATTAATTATCATTGTCTAGATCCATTAATTGGTTAGAGATTTCAAGTGGTGATTTTGTCATTCTGTTATTTCTTTTTTGTTTATCAGCTAGAATATTTCCATATTGAAAAGCTTTCCCATGTCAACTATTTGATTTCTCTGACACATTTTTTCAATTGAAAAGTATATGATATACAGCATTATTTTTTTAAGTTTTAAATATTCTTAACTATTGCATGCTATGTCATAGGCATTTGAAATTTTTGAATTGGAGGTCATACATCATATTAGAGGATTTGGTTTTGATCATTAATGTATTAAGCGTGCAATACACTGGAAAATACAGAGGTTAATGGACGTGATTTATACCTTCAAGGAACGTAATTATCTAGTGGGTGGGGGAAGTCATATATACATTTAATTTATAGACAGAATTAGTACACCTGGTTGTTAAATTTGAACAAAGTGGTGAAATTCAACTTTAAAAACTTATTTATATGACTTCAGATTCTTGCCAGTCAACAATAACTATAATTAAACAAGAGATTTTTGCCTAATCTTTCATTGAGAAATGGTGAATGAAGGAGTTTTTGGTCAGTCCCAGAAAGATACTCCATTTTTCTATTAGTAAATAGAAAGTGTGTAAACTGGTTACAATTTTAATGTGGCTGGCTATCTCGAAGGTTAAATTTAATTCTGATATTCTTTTTTTATGTGAGTTTTAATAGTAATTGGATGGGGTTTTTAATATATCTTGTTTTTTGCTCAGTATACTAATTATTTTCTTGACATATTCTATAGCTCGATAACTACGGACAGCAGGAACTCGGGGACCTTTTTGTGAACTATAATGTGAAATCCCCCATTACTGGAAATGATCTGTCACCTCCAGTATCTTTTAACTTAATGTTCAAGACCTTCATTGGACCTGGAGGAAACATGCCTGGGTATGTGTTAGTTATTTATGTGTTGACGTTATTAAAATTGCTTGTAATAAAACGTCAAAATCAGTATTAGCCATTTGAAAAGTGATATATAGAAAGTGTGGATAAATATATTAAGGTGAAATAATAGGCATTCTTAAATTTTCATCTAATTTTTTTGAATATTTATTTTTAGTGTATGTGCCATACACTAAAATAACCCTGAAAGTATAACATCTTCTCGTTATAACTATGTGGATCAGGAGGGACAGTTGAAAAATTATTTTGAAAGTCAATGAAACTTATTGCTGAAGTCAGTCTTACATGGTAGCCATTACTGCATATGATTGTTGAGCACTGATAATGTGGTTGGTGCATCTTAGGAACTAAATTTTAAAATTTGTTTAATTTCAATTTAAGTATGCATGTGGCTGGTACCCTACCATACTGGACAGAATGGGTTTAGCTTGTTAATTTAAAAATTGTGGTATTCACAGATAGAGTAAGGAAAACATAAACAGTGTTTTCACTTATTCATTGATAAGATGATCAGGGCTAGATTCTGCATTTTCAGATTCCGTGTCCACTGTGAATAATCTTAGCCAAAGTATTCTATTTCAGAGCTTTAGCTGTTTTTCTTATGGTCTCATTTTGGGGTGAAAGAAAGTAGGTTTTTGTTAAATGAAACCATTTACATCATATTTCCTGGAGTAGAAATAAAGACTAATACAGATTAATTGTGGCAAAATGTGTTACTTGATTATTTTAACAAGACACCAGGATGATTTGATGTATTTTGTGGAAGGAGGGCTAAGGTAGACCTTGCATTTAGCAATACATAGAGAATCATGAAATGAATGAAATGAGTCATACTCTCCAACCTGTCATCCCATTCCTGGGAATTTATCCAAGGAAATAATTTAAAAGGAAAGGAAACTATACTTATGAAGAACATATAAATTACAAGCACCCAGTAATTTGAGGGTGGCTAAATAAATTATAATGTGGATTATTTTAGTAGACTACCCTGTAACTGTTAAACATGAGAGAAGTATTTGTGATTATGTAGAAAATGGTCAAGTATAAAATAACTGAAATAATACATAATTTTACATATTACTTATAAATATGCAGATAAACTGTAGCAATGCACTTGTCTGGATGAAAGCTGGAAAGGGCCATAAAAATGAGGAGCTCGAAGAGGGTGACATGTCAGGTTTTTGTTTCTGGCTTTAAAGTTGTTTCTGTAAAATACTTACTTTGCAATAGACCATAGCATTTGGAACACTTTCTTAGTTGGTATTTTACATAGAATGTTCTCTGAAATTAGGCAGAGGACTTCAGTTATAATGGTATATATACTTGGCTAACTCTTTAAAATTTGCAGAATTCAGAAGAAGCCTGTGACTTAAATGTAAAGTAGAACAAAGAAAATTATATGAAAACCCTCAAAAATGATCTGAGTTGGGTCATGATTATAAAGAGTGAGCTCTCATATTAAATGCTACGTGAGCCCACACTGGCAGCTTTTTAGCCCCACGGTTGTGTTTTAATATGTGTTTAATATGTTTAAAGTGCTGCCTTAACAGAGGCAGAGGTCTTTACTTAGACCTGGGTCTTATTTTCAGAAGAATTAAAATTGTTAGCCTCCATGTGAATGATTAGTCAGGAGAGTATCAGAGGCTTTAAGGAACAATATGAGAGAGCTGGTGTTTGACTGACTGGACTGATGAAATAAATTCACATGTTTAACAGTAATACCACCATACCTATTACCTGATACGATTCTCTAATACTTTCTTGAGATGTTTGCTTCCGAGTAAAAATACCTGTTTAAACTTTGTTTTAGAGCCTCGGCAGCTTTGTGTGAAGACAGTATATTTAGGATTTTCAGCATTTGTATCTAGGATTTCAGATGTGTTGATAGACATAATTTCTTAATAGCAGACTGATTTATTTAAATTTATAGGTACTTGCGACCAGAAACGGCACAGGGGATTTTCCTGAATTTCAAACGACTTTTGGAATTTAACCAAGGAAAGTTGCCTTTTGCTGCTGCTCAGATTGGAAATTCTTTTAGAAATGAGATCTCCCCTCGATCTGGACTGATCAGAGTCAGGTACTGTTCTTGTTATTCTTTATTCTTCTCATAATATTGAACCACTTTGGCATTGAATCTGAATGGAAAGCTTGCTATTTTGAAACAATTCTCCTTTTATCCTTACATTGTATATGCATTTTTGTCCTCTAGAAAAGGGTGTTTTACATTTTCAGTATTCAAAGATAACCTTGGGATGATGGGCAGTTTTGAGTAATGAAAGTGAACTGGAAGGGAAGGGAAGAAAGGTGAAGAATTGCATGTTTCTTACCTGCTCCACAGTTATCTTTCCCCCTGTTCATCCTATATTTTGAGAATGTGAGCTCTTGATAGTCTAAACCAAGGCATTTGTTGGCAATGATGATGTATATACATGTGGAGTGAAATGGGTGGGTGATGGTTATAATAGGAGCATTATTCTAGATGTCCAGGGCAAACACCATATTGGAATTGGGTGAGGGTATTTCAGGAACTGGTTGGTATTCCTCTAGATATTTTGGGAGGACCTATATTGCAGAAAGGGCAGTTAGCAAGCTTATCCCTATCTACTCTCATTCAGATACTCATTTGCCTCTACTCTAATAATCTACTTTCAACAGTTGTCTCCAGGACAACTGTATATAGGCATGCTGGCACTAATTATATGCCACCTTTCTTTAGAAATGTTTTATAACTTAAGCTTTTTGTGATTTCCATACATTTTCTTCCTGAAGTCATCTCTTAGAGTAATAAATTCCGTTTTAATAATAGGTATATAGGTAAACTTAACTCTCTCAGGCTCCAAAAGTTTTTCCATAACCTTACTCTTCCTGTTTCCTCTCATCTACCTCATTGTAATTACAGACTTCTGCCATAGCATATGCCTGCCACTGACTCTACATCAAAGCACCCAAAAGCACCTCCCTAATCTTGTTAATTCCCTTGGCACCTTCTGAAGCAGTGCTTCCATATTTTGACAAAACTGCATCTTTAGTCCTATAGTCTCTTGAGCCTGATGTTCTAGAAAGGAGAGACTTCATGAAGGACAGAGCTTGCACAATTTAGAGGAAGGGAGTGGGAAGGACCCCTATGTGTCTTCGTACCTGGTCAGTAACTTAAACCAGGTATGATAACAATGAAAAACTTAAGTTTAAGTGTCTTACATCCCAGTGTCTGGGCTATTTTAATTTCTTTTTTCCTTTTTTACTTTCTGCTCCAGTATGCTTTCAAGTTACCCACTTGCCTGCCACACTGTGATTCAAACTCTTGTCTAGATTTTGGCTGGTTTTGTTATATACCTCTGCAAGATCCTGACTAGAAGCCCACCCATTTTTCCATGAGTCAATAGAGCTAAGATATATTTAGTGTTATGATCTCTTCTTATTGATATAGAATTAACAGGTTTTTGTATAGCTATGATTCCTTTTCTTTAGATTGGGAGTATTAGATTATTCATATGAAATTTTTTTAAAGATTTATTTATTTATGCATACAAGAGCTGGGGTACAGACCAGAGGTGCTGGGGGTGAGAGGATTCACCAGAGACAGAGTAAGGAAGAGAACAGGCAGACTGACCGAAGTACGCTGCTGAGGGGAGCAGTGGGTGAGTCAGGAGAGGTCTGCTGCGCCATGTGGGCTGCTCCCTGGCTGGCTGGGAATCGAACTCTTGCTGTAGAGGCTGGGGACAGCTTCATAGGTTGCATCTTAACCCCCTGCGCCACCAGGGAGGTCCCATATGAAATTATTAAATTTTATTTATTTTGGTTTTCTTCTAAGCTGTGTATATTTTAGTTCTCCACAGTCCAGGTGCAGTCTCTGAACTTAAGGGTAGTTGATAACTAGCAAAACCAATGTTAGTGTTAATTTCCATCTCCTCTCTGGGAGCTGGGATTATCTGACAGAACGGATGAACGACTTCAGCAACGGATTATTTTGGGATTCTGGGCAGGACCCTTATTTTGATCTGTCCTGCATTTTAGATGTTACGTTGCTGTTCAGCCTGTTATATGCTATGTGAGAACAGACATCTTGCTTTTCTGTCTTATTACACAGAGATGTTTGATCTTTGTTGTTGATGTAAGACAATACATTGGTGGTGCTGCAGAATCAAATAACTCATGCCACCAAAAAATAAAATTTAAAACCAAAGCTCTTGTAACGCATTTCACCTATTTTAGGACCCATTTAAACAATGTTACATTATTTATTTTGACTTTCCTCCAAAACATCTGAGATAATAGTGAAAGCGCAGTAGTATAAATATCTGTGTGTGTGAAGAGATTTGATTTTGACTCATAAAATTAAAATACTTCCCTCCAATGGCTACTAAATTGCCATTCAGAGAAATTTATTTGGGAAAACATAACTGTGCATATTTATTTCATCATTATGCAGTTGGCTTGATGTTTGCTTGTCCAATTCATGCCATATGTCTTCTGCCTTGAATAACACTTTATTTAAGAAGCTCTTACTCTAAAAATCCAGCTGTATAGTGCCATTATCAGTTATTTACTTGTTCAGTGCGATAAAAAGAAATCAAACTGCTATAAAAACTTAAGAACAGTTTCAATTCACTTTTAATTTCCCATTCTTTGAAAAGTAAATATCCGGGAGTTTCATTTAGTGTATATTTATAAAGATTTGCTAGTGCTTTAAGGAAAACCATTTTATTTGGAAGTCACTATTCAATATCATTTCTTTTTGTGTCTGACATCTGCTTAAGTTTTAATTTTAAAAACTATCAATCTGTTTTTTAAAAATTATTTCCTGTTAAAAAGAATAACCTTGTGGTTGTGACTAGTGTCAAAAGAAAAGATATGTACAGTAGTTAAGGTGGTAAAATCAGATTTTATTCAGGACTATTTCAGAGCCCTCAGTATGGAGGGCTCAATTTTGATTGTAGCACAGGCAAGTGGAATTTATGAAAAAGAAATGGGTGGATGGAATATTACTAAGAGGAAACATACAGGGGTAAAGGGGATTCTGGCTCAGCTGATCCAACCTGTCTTGTTGAGGACAGGCCAGAGGGATTAGATACCACTTAGGGGTTGTGTAGGTGATGTCCACTACCTGATAAGATAGCAAGGCTGATCTGATAGCAGGAATGGGGAGGGTCCTCAGTAAAGTCATTTAGCAGGGTTCTTTTTTTTTTTTTTTAAGATTGATTTATTTATGCATATAAGAGCTGGGGCGCAGGTCAGAGATGCGAGGGGTGAGAGGATTCACCAGAGCAGGGAACAGAACAGGCAGACAGACTGAAATACATTGCTGAGGGGAGCAGTGAAAGAGACAGGAGATGTCTGCCTCGCCATGTGGGTTGCTCCCTGGAGGACCAGGGATTGAACTCACACTGCCGGGGCTGTGGATTGCTTCATAGTGCAGTGCTTTAACCCCTTGCGCCACCAGGGAGGCCCTTAGCAGGGTTCTTGATAAAACTGGATTGTAAAAGGAAGTGTACAGATCTCTTCTGGAAGAAGAGATCAGGAGACTGGTAAGTTTGGCCAAGCAAAGAAGACAGCAGTTAATATTTGAGAGAAGTTTGTTTTTATATTAGATAATGAGTAATGAAAGTTTTAATTAATGCATTTAAAAATACCTAAATCAACTGCTTTTTACCATTCCCTTAAAAAATAATTTTCTGCTTAGTGAAAGAGATTCCTGTAATGTGTGCACCTATGTCATTTGTAGAATGAAGTTGAAAATAAGGACCTTGCTTTTTTATAGTTAAACATGCAACAATAATCTCTTACATTTTTGTTTTCAGAGAATTCACAATGGCAGAAATTGAGCACTTTGTAGATCCCAGTGAGAAAGACCACCCCAAGTTTCAGAATGTGGCAGACATTCACCTTTATTTGTATTCAGCAAAAGCCCAAGTCAGTGGACAGTCTGCTCGGAAAATGCGCTTAGGAGACGCTGTTGAACAGGTAAGAACCCATCGATAATTTAGACTATATCTATTCAGGGTTTGTAGCACTTAGCAAAGTCTTGTACCAACTATCAAAGTATTTTATTTTTGCAGTCATTTTTTTAATACAGTATTTGTTATATACTATTTTTTTTTTAAGATTTTATTTATGCATACAAGAACCGGGGTATACAGGCCAAAGGATTGACCAGAGACAGAGTGGGGAGCACAACATGCAGATCTACTAAAATACACTGCTGAGGGGAGCAGAAGGCGAGACAGGAGAGATCTGCTGTGCCATATGGGTTAGCTCCCTGGCTGGGGATTGAACTCATGCTATAGTGGCTGCAGATTGCTTCATAGTGCTGAGACTTACCCCTTTTGCTACCAGGGAGTCCCCATACACTCTTATTATAGTGGGGGAAGGTTACCTAATATGTCAACTATTCTTAGGGCTAAAGTGCAAAAAACGTTTCAGCAGAGCACTTAATTTGAACTATTTTTCACCAATCCAGCATTAAACTATACTACATTAGGGAGAGACTCACAGAAAGCTTTTAAAACTCTTCTATATTACCCATAGCAATTGGGATAAGATCTTGCATGACATAGATGATCTCTAATTGTTTTCTTGGGGAAATGAGTGGGTAAAACTTTCAAACAATAATTGCTGCCTAGTTATGACCCTGGTGAAGAGTGAGCTTCTTACCCTTGAAAATGTTAAAATAGAGGATGGGGAATAACTTGTCAGCCATTTTGCAGAGAAGACTTCTAGGTCAGATGGAAGATGAAATGATGATTTCTAAGATCCTTCCAGAACTAAATTTGTAAGATAACATAATACTGATTAGGGTTCACAAATTTCAGTTAATAAGGATATATTAAAATCCCCTCAGCATGTTTCGTTACTTTTGTTAAATCAGAAGGGGTATATTTACCATCGCTAGGGGTCGTAGAATATCATTTTTAGTACTGCATGTCAGGAAGTTCTGAGCTACTGGAGTGAATTTTTGGTGACTCGGTGAGTTTGTTCAGCCTGTTCACTTGACTTTACCCTCTTTAAATATAACCATAATCACATTCTGGGGATTTGACGTTGTTCTGAAGGTTTAGTAAATTATCTTACTTTTTATTTCAAATATTTTTCAGTAGATTATGAATACCTCCATGGAAAATGGTACCTTGTCCTTTAAAAGTGTTCACGTGTTTATTTTTTCTTCCTCTATGCTTGTTTGCACACTTGCTTGCATATTTGTTTGCTTATTTACTTATTTGTTCTTCCATTCATTTTTAGGGTGTGATTAACAACTCAGTATTAGGCTATTTTATTGGCCGCATCTATCTCTACCTCACGAAGGTTGGAGTATCCCCAGAAAAACTCCGCTTCCGGCAGCACATGGAGAATGAGATGGCCCATTATGCCTGTGACTGTTGGGATGCTGAATCCAAGACATCCTATGTAAGTAGAACAAGGTGGACTTTGCTATGTGATGTTCACATAGTTAACTGAGAAGGATCAATATCAGAATTGTGTTTTGTGTCCTTTATGTCAAAAGTAAAAGTAAAAGAGAGAAACAAGATATTTTTCTGGGCAAAGCAGGAAAAACAGTTACTCCGTGCTCTCTTTATAAGGAGGGCATCTACTCTTGTCCCTGTAGTGCTTTTTAGACTTACATGACTTTTTCAGAGCATGTGAGAAGCCGGTGATAGGACAGTGCTATTGGTAATATCTCTGTGTGCAGCTGAGATGGAGTATCTTCTTTTCTGGCAAGGTTTGCTAGTTGGTGGTGCTGGTTTTTACAATCCTTTAAAAATGAAATAGCTGGGCCTCTCCTGGTGGTGCAGGCAGTTGAGCGCAGTGCTGTGAAGCTGTCTGCAGCCTCTGCAATGTGGGTTCGATCCTGGCCGGCTGGTGAGAATCCCACATGGCATGGCAGACCTCTCCTGTCTCGCCCGCTGCTCCCCTCAGCAGTGTATTTTAGTCAGTCTCTTGTTCTGTTTCCTGCCCTATCTCTGGTGAATCCTCTTACCCTCCCACGTGTCTGGCCTGTACCCCGGTTCTTGTATGCATGAATAAATAAATCTTTAAAAAAAAAACATGTAATAGCAACTCTTAACTCCATAGGGTTGATTTGTCAGTATTTGTTCTGAATGATTCTATGTGCATTGCAGACACATGTATACATGCACTATGGTGTTTATGTCTGCAGTTACTGTTCTTGGTGTTGCTTTTAATGTTTTTTCCTTTGTGGAATCAGGAAAGAATTATTGAAATCTGTTAATTTTTTCTTGTTAATTTTTTTGCAGCTATGCTTAACATATGCCAAGATGGTGGTAATTATTTTTGGATATAGCTGGTCATTAATTTCTTTACCCTTTGGTTTTTCTGGAATTTATTTTTATTTCCAGATCAAATTACTAAAATATTTTCCATTTGTGTGAGAAAAGATGGTTTCTTTTCACTTTGTTTCTTACCATTTTCCTTGCTTAATTTGCTCTGATCTTAATTTCAAGTTAATCATGCAAAGAGTTTTGCTGTCTCAATTTAGATTCTGAATCTGGGGCATAATTGCTTTTTACTTCTTTCATTTGTTCATTGAACATTTTAATTGTTAAGGGCTAGATTTCTTTCTAAGTGCTTCATTTGTATTATTTTCTGTATCCTCACAATAATCCTATTCATAGATACTATTTCTGAGGGAACTGAAGTGCTGAGAAGTTAATTTGCTTGAATCTCACAGCTAGTGAATGGTAGAGCTAGAATATGAATCTGAGCTACCACACCCCAAGCCCATGCTCTTAACTGTTGTGCTGTGTTGCTTTGATAAACCCTGCTATGTTTATCGGAGTATCACTGTGAACTGTAGCCCAACCCTAAGATTTGGGGATCAGAAAATACGGGGCTCCTTTGAGATTATGCTATGTTTTATTTAAGGTCTCTGGAAGACAAAACTAAATACCAGAAACTCCAAGGTGAAAAACTTGTAAGGAGAAAAGAGAACTCCTTTTAAGGCTTTAATGCTTTTTTTCTGTGTGCTTCATATTTTTTTTTTTTAACTAAAATAAAGTTACTGATACAGTTAATGTTCTATCCTTTTCCTCTCCATCCTGAGATGTAACCGCTATCCAAAAGTTGTTGTTTACCATTTTCAGGTGTGTTTTTGTAATTTAATCTCTTAGTACTAAATGTTAGTTGACATCGTTAATAAATAATAACCATCAAGTTAATCACCATTATGTTTAAGAACATAAATACACTAGTTGATATCCTTAATGAATGTCAGTTGATCAAGTTACATTTTTTAAGAATTTGTTCTTTTCTTTCAATTCCTTTGTTGTGCGTGTTGGGGTTCCTGAACCTTTGTAAGGTTGTGTTTGCCCTCTGAAAAAGCTTAGTGATTCTGATGGTTGAATTTTCCTAAATTCTTTGGATCAAAGGCAAAAAAACAAATATTCATGAGGACTCACTAGGTATCCACTAATCTTTTCACCTCCTTTGTTCTCTTTCAAAAAATAGGTTTTTAAAGATCTTTGAAAATAATTTAATTTTGTTTTTGAGAAGTGTCTTCGGTATTAACAAGAAATTAGCCCCATAGTGATAGCAGTGCTGTTAGTTTTATTTTGCAACCTAAACATTTCATGCTCTTTAATGAGTGTTCTTTTGTTGGAAAACTGAATTGTGCACAAATGCTCATATTCATGGCCAACAGCTATCTGATGCCAAATTGTGAGAGCAGTAGACACTTCGTCCAAAGATAGTAGTTGTTTTGCCAGAATTATTTTGAATCCTGTTCACAAATTTGAAGCGAGTCTACCTATTTTGTCTAGATTCACATTTTATTTCCATAATTAAGTCTAGAACATATTAGTTAACACACATTTGCATTATAGCAAAATAAATCTGTGAAGAAAACAAGACTACTTTGTGTCCATGTGTGAATTATACCTTATAGTGTTGTCAGCTTCTTGATGTATGAAACTATTCCCATTTCAAACGTTTATAAAGTTTGAGTGGAGATCCTGTAATTGACATATACTTGAGCCTGTGAACGGGGTATAGTCTGGATGCATTTGTGAATGAACCCAATATAAGTAATAGATATTTTCTTATGTCTTCTTAGGGCTGGATTGAAATTGTTGGATGTGCTGATCGTTCCTGTTATGACCTCTCTTGTCATGCACGAGCCACCAAAGTCCCACTTGTAGCTGAGAAACCTCTGAAAGAACCCATATCCTTTCTGGTCACTTGCCAAACTAGGACTAAAGTGTAAACACCTGTTTTATGGATAAATTAAGTGTTTTGAATATTGTGGTAACACTTGTTAAAACATATTATTTTGCCCATTTCATTGGTCCTTTCATATTCTCTTTACTTGTAATCTAACAGTACTTGCTCAGTATTTGGTCCCTAAAATGATTACATTCAGAAAAATGCTCTGAATGTTTTTCTGTTGACCAGGGATTTTTTTTTAGCCATTTCCAAAGTGCGTTTCTCCATACCTATACCTACTTACATGCTCTTTAAATAAAAAGTATGTACTTGGTGAACACTTTTTCTGTTAAAAGATGAATGTCATTTTATGGTAGGTAGAACAGTAATTTAGCTCACTTGATCTATAAGTCAGAAAAATAGAAATTTCCTGCCTCTGCCTATAGTGAGGTTGTGAGCTGGCTAGCACTCTGGAATAGACTCCTGCTGTTGGGGTATTTTATAAATTGTCAGAGATTACGTTGTGGGTTGGGTTACATTGCTGATTAGATAATAATCCTTTTATCTCACTTGGAAAAAAATCTCTGTTGCTGGTGTTTACTTACTTTGAGTGAGATCTATTGGAGTAATTTTGTGGACACTTGTTCCATCTTGCACTTGAAATCAGCATAAACAGGATATAGGGTAATAATAGAACAGAGAACCAGTACTTATTTTTAAGTTGATGACTGATCATTTTTAAGATCATTTTCTGAAATACTAAGGCAGTTTGTATTTTTGGATTCCTTAACTCTTCATACAAAACAGTTAATGTTGTTCAGTTTGAACCCAATAAGGGAGGAATTGGTAAGGCATATAAGAAGGATGCAAAGCTGGTGATGGAATACCTTGCCATTTGTGATGAGTGTTACATTACAGAAATGGAGAAACTACTGAATGAAAAAGGGTAAGATAAAAAGATGTGTATTTTTTTTAGATGGGCTCTTGTCAGATATGTCTTGTCTGTCAGCTTCTGAAAGTTAGATTGACATTAATTTCTTTAGAAATTTTCCGGCAGGTAAGTACTTATCTTAGCTACATTTAAAGGACTATATTTGCTGAGATTTTCACATGACAACCTGGAAATAGATTTGAAATGGGCTCAAAGATAATTGTTTTCTTTTAGGGAAATTGTTTTTCTTAGAGAGGAGACTTGTCCATGGTAATGACTGAGGTATCATTAGAAACTACACCTATCTTTCAAGTGTGGTTTTTTCTTTTTGAGCTTTGGGATGAGCACTCTAATTGTTTTAAGCATAAATATAGAGAAAAGTCTTTTAAAAGAATTGAATAAAATTGGTACTAAATAATGTAAAATTTACCATGTCTGGTAAACAAAAAAAAAAAAAAACTGAAAAATTACTACTTGTGTGAAAAAGTAAGGCCATGTGACCCCTAATGAGAAGAAAAATCAGTCAAAATTAACACTCAAAAAAAAACATGGAATAAATACATAAGGGTGTTAGAATGGGCAAAAATATGTTTCATATGCTCAAGAATATAAGGGAAATCATGCACATCTGAGGTTAGAAATGTGTTTGCATGATGGAACATTAGTTGTATCAGTAAAAAGAGCAAATGGAGCATCTGGAGGCAGTATCTCAAATGAAAATGTCACTGGATGGGATTAAAGTAGATTAAACATTGAAGAAGTAGATTAAACATTGAGCTTAAAGATAGCAACAGAAACTAGGATGAAGCATAGAAAAAAGAGAGAAAATAGCAGTTGGCCTTTAGGATAATATAAAGCAATCTAGTATTATTGGGAATCTCAGAGAAAATATCTGAAAATACCTGAATACATATAATAATTGAAACTTTTACAAATTTGATACAAACTATAAATTTACTGATTTAAGAAGTTCAACCTGGGGCCTCCCTGGTGGCACAAGGGGTTAAGACAGGGCACTATAAAGCTGCCTGCAAGAGTTTGATCACCAGCCAGGGAGGTGACCCACATGGCACAGCAGACCTCTCCATCTGGCCCGCTGCTCCCCTTAGCAGTGCATTGCAGTTGATCTGCCTCTTCTGCTCCGGACTCTGTCTATGGTGAATCCTCTCACCCCCCTTCCCCGCCCCCCCCACCTCTGGCTTATACCCCAGTTCTTGTATGCATAAATAAATAAATCTTTTTTTAAAAAAAGTTCAACCCCAAGCAGAATAAAACACAAAGGAAAACAAATGAAGGCACATCTGAGTCAAATTTCTGAAAAACAATAATTAACAGAAATATCTCTGAAGGGGGGGAGGGGGGACACATTAACATAAAAAGGAACAAAGATAAGACTAGTTAGAATTCTTGTCAAAAGCTGTATCAGCCACAGTGCGGTGGAATGAAATCTCTCAGTGCAGACAAAGATCCGGAAGAAATATCTTTCAAAAATGAAGGGGAACTTTCAAGCAAAAACTCAAGCAAATACATTGCCAGTAGACCTATATTACAAAAAATGTTAAAGGAAGTTCTTCAGGTAAATGTACAGAAATTTAGATCTACCCAAAGAAATTGAGCTCTAGAATTTATAAATAACTGGTTGAGTATACTGATGTTTTAATTTCTTAAAAGGTAATGGGCTGTTTATAGCAAATATATTAACATTGGATTATAATATGTAGAAGTAAATGAATGCTGTCAGTAGCCCAAAGGATGAGAGCAAATAATTGGGAATATACTGTGTTATAAGATATAAACAATATATGTGAAATGCCATAATATTTTAAGGTAGACTGATAAATTAAAAAAAAAATGTGGTAAACACTAGAGGAATTACCTGGAAAACACACACACAAAACTCAGAGATATAACTAATAAATCAATAGGGAGATAAAAATAGAATAATAATACCTCAGAAGACAGCAGAGGAAAAATGAACAGAGAACGGCTGGAAGCAATAGAAAAATAACTGAGATGGTAGGTTTCAACTAAAAAACATCAATGACTACAATAAGTATAATGATCTGAATACTTGAATTAATATCTATCTGCTTAAAAAACTTAAGATCCAATTAAATGCTGTTTACAGGAATTTCACTAGTAACACAAATAGGTTTGAAAGTAAAAGAATAAAAAAAAAATTCCCATACATACATTTATCAAAAAGTTGTAGTGGGCCTCCTGTGTCTAGTGGTGCAGGTGGTTGAGCGCCGCGCTGTGAAGCTGTCCGCAGCCTCTGCAGCGCCAGTTTGATCCCGGCCAGCCAGCGAGGTCCCATATGGCGCAACAGACCTTTCCTGACTTGCCCGCTCTCCCCTCAGCAGTGTACTTCAGTAAGTCTGCCTGTTCTGCTCCCTGCTCTGTCTCTGGTGAATCCTCTCACCCTCCTGCACATCTGGCCTGTACCCGGGTTTCTGTATAAATAAACAAACAAATAAATAAATAAATCCTTTAAAAAAAAAAAAAAGTTGCAGTGACTATGTTAAATACCAGAGAAAGTAAACTTAAGAACAAGGGAAATTACCAAGGACAAAATTGCATTTCATAATGATAAAAGAATCATTTCATCAAGAAGGCATATCACTCCAAATTGTGTATGCAGCTAAAAACAGAATCCCATATAAAGCAAGCTTGACAGAACTGAAAAGAAAATTAGAGAAATCTACAATTATAGTTGATTTCTGTGCCCCTGTCGCAGTAATTGGAGAGCAAGTACACAGAAAAGTCAATGGGAATTTGAAGGCATAAACACTAATAATTTTCATTTGTAGAATACCTAATAGCTAGAGGACACATTTTTTAAGTGCATCTGAGACATCTTTCATACTGTGTTTTGTACAGCCCTTCAGCTAAGTCTGAGTTTTACATTTTCTCAAAGGGTAGTTTTAAAGAACCATATGAGAGACTATATGGCCTGCAAAGTCTGAAATTTTCCATCTCTAACCCTTTGCAGAAGTTTGCCAGTGTGTCACAGACATCAGACTAAATGAAAGTCTTAGATGAGATTATATATGATTATATGTAAAACTGCAGAAAAGTCATCTATTTATAGTGATAGAAAGTAGTTGACTGGGGGTGGAGAGGACTGAAAAGAAAAGGACTCAAGGGGAACTTGGTGTGATGATGGTTGTATGTGTATCATAAGATGAGCTCTTATCATACCATATTGGCATGAAAATTTTAAATGTTTCTGGTCTCCCAGAATAACATCACCTATTTCTGCTAAAACAGCAAATCCCATTAAAATGTACACTGATAACTAGTTAGATAGTATCCACACACAGCATTTTCCATGATTCTCAATAACTCTTTCCTTGCTCATTTCAGCTTTTTTAAAATAACGGTTCTATACTTAGACTGTACTCACAGAAAGAATGCAAATACTGTTTAACTAAATAATGGAATCTTTAATGCACACACTCCACTCACAAACTTCAGACAGAATAGTAAAAACAGGAAATAATGGACACCATTCATATGATGCATGAGATCAACACTTTTAGAAACTAGCGAAACACAGTGTAACATGTGCCTACAACTGCTTCAAAGACAACCACATGAGGGCTCTCTTTGCCCAGCAGTGAGCTGCTTTGTGAGAGCAGGAAAATTAACATGATCTTCATTATATGAGAAAATACTTCAAAAGCTGAAATACAGATATTAATGAAGTGCTTTATACAGGTGAACTATTATAACCTGCAATAGAATAGGCATATTTCAGAATATAAACATGTTGTAGCCAATGCTTTTTTGGGGAGTATTTTATTTTGGCATATCAGATAATCATTCAACTCCCTTTAAGCTGGTCTTCATCAGTGTGTCAGTTTATTTTGGAAATACTGTAGGAGTTTTAAATGCTTTCTCTAACTGGCCAACTAATCATCTTTATATTTGTTGGGCTAATAATGAGAAACTTTGCCACAGTCCTGTTTCTGGAAAATTTATTGTGATCTAAAACGGTATAAAAAGAATTTTTTTTGTTGTTTGTTTTTCTTGGTCTCACAACCAAAGGAATTAGTCATTAAGTTACTTGTGGAATTTAATAAAAGGAGTTGCATTTTTGGGTACCTTTCAGAATAGTCTGGTACCATTGTTAAAATAATAATTTGTGCTCCTCCCTGGTGGTGCAGGGGTTAAGTCTCAGCACTGTTAAGCTATCTGCAGCCTCCACAGCATGAGTTTGATCCCCAGCCAGGGAGGTGACTCCATCTCACTGCTTCCCTCAGCAATGTGTTTCAGTAGATCTGCCTGTTCCGCTCCCCACACTGTCTTCTGGTGAATCCTCTCACCACCACCGCCCCCCATATGTCTGGTCTATACCCCAGTTCTTGTATGCATAAATAAATTTTAAAAATCTTAATAGTAACTTGTTATTCCTTGTAAAACAATTTAAATTTGACTTCAGCTGTTATTTCTGCAGAGTTGACCAAATTGTATTATACTTAAAATGAAACACAATTTAGCAGTCTGTAAAACTCCTTAAAATGAAGGCATAAGAATGCATGTTTTAGCTAATATATAATGTGTTATTTCTTTCTAGGGAATTCACTATTGAAACTGAAGGGAAAACATTTCAGTTAACAAAAAACATGGTCAGTGTGAAGCGGTTCCAGAAAACATTACACGGTAAATTGTGAAAAATATTTAAGAAGCAAGCATGTATACAGTGAAGTTACTACTTCTTAAAGTGGTTTTTTAATGTTTCATTTTTTAAAAAGTTTTATAATGTAACTATTTTACAGAAACTTGAAGAGGAAAAAATAAATCCTTATGCCACAATCCTGACATTGATTAATGTCTAAGGCATTATTTTGGGCCTTTCTTTTACTTTTTTTAAAACATAATTGTACTTATCTTGAATTACTAATATATAATGATACCTTTATATTTCTTGAGACCTAAGAAATAATGAACATTTCTTTCATTAAAAGCATCATTGTTTTCATTTAAAGGGAGAGTCCATTTTTTCTTAAGGAAAATAAGAAACTCTCCTCTTTTTTTTTTCCAAAATAGTTTGTTAAAAAGACTTTTAGATTGTGACCTTTATTGCTTTTATTAAAAGCCAAAGAGATGATTACTTGTTGTAGAGCAGCTTTATAAATTGGGACCTGAGTGTTTGGAGCTTTTATGAAGGTTGTTTATGACTAATTATGACTGAATTGCAGTCATAAGAGAGCAGATCTACCTTTCTATATGTTTTTGGCCCTTTTTTAGCCAGGCTTTTGTGAACCTGGCTCACAAAGTAAAAGCAGTCTGCACATTGGTAGCAGAAGCACTGGGTCCTTCTTCATACTTAGGAGCTTTTTGGCCACCACCCTGGCACCTGGTTCAGTACTATACTTCACCATTGCTCGAATGCCATGGAAGGATGGGCAGATTCTACCTTATGATCATGTTTCTAAAATATTTTTGTTTTTAGCACAGACAAAGGAAACAGCCTCTTTTTCTCGTGTGTGAGTTTCAGGTTCTAGTTATTTCCCTTGAAACATAAAATCTCCAGAGTTAGGATCTACTACCGTAGACTACCTTCCTGAATGCTTAATGAATTCATGTGCAGTATGTACTGCAGCCTCACACATGGGAAGGCTGATCCTGTGCAAACTCTCCTCTAACGACCTCCTGACCCCAGAGCCTTGGAAGTATATACAACTACAATAACTTAGCTCTATTTTTAAAGTGTTCTCAACAAGATAGCAAGAGAAAAAGTAAAACAAATACAATCAATGTGATACTTGCTGCATGAAGGAATTGTTTTTGTGAATTTTGCCAGCCATGATGGTAGTTTTTAATTCCAGCAGTCTTGTAAAAGCACTGTAGTTTTCTTCCTTTCTGGATAGGCAACAAAGATGACTTTGGAGTCTAGCTGCTGTTGCTTGTAACTTACTAACTAGGGAAGACAAATCTTTGTTCCTTGTTTCATTTTTATACTATAGAAACAAAGAATTAAATTGGTGGATTTTTTTTTTCATTCCAACTTCCTCTTTAAAATGGCTAAACCCCACTAGCAAATAGTTTTTGGGAATCTCTGATCTCTTGCCCTGATGTACAGGATGGCTCAAACTCCATCTAAAATAGAATTATTATTAGTGGCTGATGAATTGTTAGAGTACCTAAAATGCCGCATTGGGGTTTGAGAGAATGTTACTGAATTTCTCTCTCTTTTTCAGTGGAAGAAGTTGTTCCAAATGTAATTGAGCCCTCCTTTGGCCTGGGCAGGATCATGTATACAGTATTTGAACATACATTCCATGTACGCGAGGGAGATGAACAGAGAACTGTAAGTTGTCCTGTACAGGATGCTGATTCTCTTAACGGTGTCATAGAATAAAATTTACTGAAGTACATTAATGTCTTTGGGATAAAATAGTCTGCAGTACTTTTGGGATAAATATGTAAATTTCTAGGTTCTATTCCAGAGGTGCTGATTTACTAGGTGTAAAATATAAGATCTTTGTTTTTTATAAGAACCTAGGTGATTCTGATGTGAGAGATTGGTAGATTATTAATTGGGCATTAGTATTTGGAGGATAGCTTTTCCTAGATTCATGAATATTTGAAGATAGATGTTGTAAGAAGTCTTCCATCAACTTCCACAAGTTTTCTTTTGCCTCTGATGCGTCTGAATCACTGTTCCCTGCCTTATACTTTATTCCCTTATTCTGCCTTTTTGCTTTTCTCAACTTGCCTCTGCCTGCAGAAATTATACTCCTTTAATTTCTAGGCACATATTTCCAGGAAAATTAATCCTAAGAATGACCAGAAAAGAGAGATTGTAGATATCAAAATAACTGAAAGAAACATTTCCATCTGTATACCCATTGAAAGCTTAGTGAGCACATAGTCCTGGGCATCAGCACTGTAGTACTTCTCGGATTGTTAAATTTGAAGAATGGGCTGATTAATTCTTCTTTCCAATGTTTTTGGAACTCTGACATACTATTGGTAATATGTGTCTAATAAAGTTACTATTGTAATCTCTGCCCTAAAGTTGCATCTTTGTTTTCTGAAATTTAAGTGGCTCTTCAGTCAATAAGAACCTGGGCTTTAGAAAAGATGACATGTATCTCTGAATGTGTTCTTTTTAGGTGCCAAGTTTGCATTAAGTTTTCCTGCTTATTTTTCTTATAAAAGAAGTTTTTAAAAGAATCCGTTAGCCCTTCATTTGAACTTAGCAATATTGGTAGAACTAGAGTTTTAACAGAAAAATTTTATAAGGACTAATAAAAAATAAGTTAGTAACAGTTTTATGAATTACACAGAGATTCCTGTCATGAAGAGAAATTTGATTAGGCTGTTGAAAATGTTTCAAAAAAATGTTTCTAAATTATTAACAAATAGTCCTGAAGCTCATTTTCCTCTAAATTTGATAGGAAAACATTGCTAGTGAGATTAAAAAAATATTATTTTGCTATAAAGGCAGGTCTCTGCGTCTTTCTCACATTATATAGCATTATCACAAGATAGAAGCAGGGAGTAGAGCTCCGAACGTTCTACTCCTCAGGCAGCCATATTGGTGGAGTCCAGGGTTTACTTATAGTGGGATATTCTCCTTTACTTTGGCACTTAATTAGGTTAATAAAGACTTTGAGGGGTTAAATTGGAATCTGTGTCACTCATTTTTGAGGGAGTACTGTTCATTCTGAATTCCATTTTCTTCCCTAGAAGTGGATTATTTGTATAAGAATTACTTAAAAACTCCCTTCAGGTCTCATTTCCAAGTTCAAATGGTAGACTAGTTTGCATTCCACAGACTATATTTGTCCTCTTTTATTTCTGAGTAACTCTAAACCCTGTTTCAGGAGCAGTTTTAAGGGTTTTTGTTTTGTGCTATTTCTTATGTCACCTAATTTAAACTTTTCTGCTTACTTGGTCACTGAGGTTCACAGATCCTTCCGCTATGCCAATTCTTAAGGAATACAATAGGATTATTTTTTATTTTGGTACTGCCACATATTAATTTGATGATTTAGGGGGGAGGTTCTTTAGGGGTCTTCACTGTAAGAATTTATGTGGTACCAAGAAATTGCCATTTTATATGGTAGATTTCAGAATGCTTTTACACTACTTCATCTATTTATAACAGATTTGTAAGTAAGCAGAACACATGGAAGAGATTACTCTTTAGAGAAACTAAGGTCTAGAGAGAGAGTTCATTCACTGAGGTGTCTGTGTTCAGAGCTGAAAACCAGATCTTACTGATTCTGCTTCTGCTTCTGGTTATCCTACTTTTATTCTCTGTCACTTTACTTTTCATATCATGTTGTGTGGTATTTGTGGTACACAGTGAAGTTTGAACATTAACTTTTAGATCTTCATAAACTCACTATTTGGGTTTCTTTCTTTTTAAATTATCTAGTTCTTCAGTTTCCCGGCGGTGGTAGCTCCATTCAAATGTTCTGTCCTTCCCCTGAGCCAAAACCAGGAGTTCGTGCCGTTCGTCAAGGAATTATGTAAGCAAATCCAATTGGGTAATCTCCATGGGAACACCGTCAAGTAGACTGAATTTTAGGAAATGTATTGTTTTTTTCAATGAAATTACTTATTGAATAAAGAATAAATCTCAGTGACTTTAGCCTCTGCTCTTATTTCTAAGAGAAAGTATACTTACTCAGGATGTTTTCTCCTGGCATTTCCAGGAGTCAGAGTAGCACCCAAGAGTCAGATTTAAGAGGTCCTTGCGTCTTCTATTAACTTTGGTGTCCACTTCATCAGGGACACCCTTAGTGGAATTTAGGGTCATGCAGGTAGGGGTGGTGAAGTCAGGACCAGCCTCCTGGCCTTTCTGAGCTGAGACTGTTCCCCTACAGCTGAGTCAGATGTAGCTCTAAGTAAGGGGTTAGGCTCCAGCCAGGGACTTGTTAACACTTTTGGATTTTTCTTTCTCTTGCAACTGTAACTTAATGTTATCTTCTCCCTTTAAGTTTTTTGAACTTACATGGTAACATAAAGATAACATTGGAATTCTCCATTCTTTTGTTTTTAATATACTTAATTTATTTTGGATAGCGGAAGCCCTGACCAGGAATGGAGTCTCTTACAAAGTAGACGATTCCTCCGGATCTATTGGAAGACGCTATGCCCGGACTGATGAGATTGGTGTGGCTTTTGGGATCACCGTTGACTTCGATACAGTGAACAAGACCCCTCACACTGCAACTCTGCGAGACCGAGACTCCATGAGACAGATCAGAGCAGAGGTGGCTGGCCTACTCTTCCTCATCTTTAGTTTTAGAAATTTGTATTGGTTCCTTAATTTGAGCTGGATTGATTTTGATGTATTTATGCTGCATTTTTTTTCCTTTTTAATTTTAATCGTAGGCTTGTATCAGCTCAGATTCTCAAATCCCCTTTGTTAATTATGAAAATATCCACTAACACTTCTCTAATATTTTATAGCCATATGGATCACTCTGGGCTCATTCTTTTGCTTTTATAGTTGTTTATTTGGGCAAGAGAAAGATGATCCCAAGTGGTTGTTGCCATAGTTTCTATTGACAGTCTTTGAGGGAGCCTAGACATTTTTATCTTTATAATTCTATATAAATACGGACCTGTATATGTATAAACTTTTCCATATTAATCCATTCAAAACAGTGAATGTTTCAGTAATTTTACCTAATGGGAAGGGAGTAATGGAGATAGGAAAGTGCAGAAGGAAGGATGGTGAGGGAGAGGAAAGAGTGGCTACTTAAATTGACAAGCACTTGACTAACTTATTAACTTAGAGTGGGTGTTTATTTAGAATGTAAATTATGTACTCTAACACAGACAGTAATAAGGAAAACAGAAGTAAATACTGCCTTTTTTCCCAAGGGAGTTTATAGTCTAATTTAGAAGTCATAGATTTCCGGCTGGTTTTTATACAAAACTAGGTCTGGCTACGCCTCCGCAGATGGACTTACCTCCATTCTCATCTAGCAGTGGTTTTCCAGGTGTGGTCCCTGGCCCAGCACCGTCTTTATCACCTGGGAACTTGTTACAACCACTTGTCTGCCCCACTGAGCCAGGAGCTGAGGGTGGTGGTGATTAGGGTGTTGGAGAGGGAGAGATGTGGGGCAGAAGTGTTTTGATGAGACCTCTAGACAAGATATTTAAGTTTGAGAACACATGTCCTGTAGCAGCCAATGTTTGGTTATGCTGAAGAACGGCTGCCCCTAGGATGCTGTAACTTGCTAGTCTCCCCTCACTCCCTTCACTCTTGTTACTTGATTGACCTCTTTCTAAGCAGTAAATGAATACACCATGAAATTATTTCCGGTCATACAGAACTTCAGAATAATTAGAAAAGGCCTTGTTGGAGAATTGAGTCATTTCAGGGGATGGGGACTGGCAGCTGGGCTAGAGGAAGAGCATGAAACCCACACCTGCGAGGAAAGTGAGTATAGTCACATAATGAGGCTTCAGCGGGAGTGACATGGAACGTCCTATGGGGACCAGTTTGTGGAAAGATCCTGTCATTACTTAGAACTGAAAGATTTCCTCATTTCTTTGATAGGCTTATCTACCCCAAATGTTTGATTCGTGGACTTCTCTTTTCTTTCGCCCCAGGTCTCTGAACTGCCCAGTCTAGTCCGAGATCTAGCCAACGGCTGCATCACATGGGCTGATGTGGAAGCCAGATATCCTCTCTTTGAAGGACAAGAGACTGGTAAAAAAGAGACAGTCGAGGAATGAAGACAGTTTTGGTGACTTTTGACCACTTGCGCTAATAAATAACTCTTATCATGTCCATTTTATGAGAAAACAGCATTGTGATTGCTCCCAGGGACTGCCTTTTATCCTCAGTGGCTGCCTGATCTCACTCCCACAATTAAAGTTGAAGGAATTCTGAACAATCTTGTAATCATTTGCATATGTTTTATGTTTTCAGCAAAACTGTTTCTTCTACCTTTTGGTAAACATGCTATGGCTTAACATTACACACAATACATTAATCAACAGCTTTATTGGGGTACAATTTACATATCATTAAATTGACCCATTTTAAGTAATGTTGAATTCAGTGATGTTTACTCTATTTACAGAGTTGTCCAACTCTGCCGCAATCCAGTTTTAGAATATTTCCAGCACACCAAAAAGAAACTTTATTTGCATTTAGCATCTTTCTCCAGTCCAACCCCAGCCCCAAGCAACCTCTTAGCTACTTTCTGTCTCTCTAGATTTGTCTTTTCTGTCCTTTTTCTGAAAAAGCAGTGAATTTTGCTAAAAGGAGACAGCAGTTTCTAAGCAAGTGGGAAGGCGTCTGGGAAAAGCTCAGTGGGGGACGGGGTGGCAGGAGCAGGGGAGGCGGAGAAAGAGGAGTGCTGGTGTGGAGGTTTAGGGCTGCTGCCTCTCATGTTCTGCTGACAGACATCCATGTCTTCAAAGTCTCTGGTAGTGGATGCAGTAGCCGAAGCCCTCTATTTTAGGGTGTGCTTGTACTTGACTTCCCACATAGTCCTGGAAATCATGGAATTCCTGATGCTAGAGGAGCCCCATCAATCTACCCTGACTTGGCAGTATTCAACCATCACAGTGTGTTGATCCTAGCCTAGTGGTTCTGGACTCAGCTTCTGAAGGATGTTATTTTTATTATATTTTTATATAGAGCACTCAACACGTATGTTTATTTGTTAGGAAAAAAGCAAGGATGGAGGAATTTGAGCAACTTGTTACTTGCAGTAAAGACCTTGTCTCGCATTCCAACTTCCTCTCAAAGAGTGTGGGGAGGGGTGATCACCAGAATGTTTTCCTTTGTCTTGGGTTTGAAGAGCAACTGATAGTAACTTCCTCCCAGAGTACCTCATTTCATCTCTCCTGTGCTTCCTTCCACAGTACTGTACAGAGTAGGTGTTCAATTAGTAGCCTTCAGATAAGTCTTGAATTTTTGAATAAATCTTTGGGGAAGAAAGCCTTTTACTAAGCTTTCACTAAAGCTTATTTCTTTTCTGCCTGATACTTTATAAAGCATTCATTATTAAGTTAGAAAGAACTATATTGAAAATAAATTGAGTTTTCATTTTCTAGGAATTCCTTCTACTTCAAATTCCACATTTTAATATACAGCTTTTGGGGTATATTCTAGCATTCTCACAGGCGGGAGGGGTCTTTACTCTTCCCATTTATTTACTTCATTCTGGAGCACTTAACTCCATAGTCAAACAGGCAATATCACCAGAGACATTGTTATCAGCTTATTAATAGCAAAAGACATTAAATAAGTAGTGGAATTCATCTACTTTGGATCATAAAGGAATTGGAACCTAAGCTCTTTTCACTATGCATTGGCAGATACAGTTGTCAAGACTTAGATGTTGGATATTATTTCTGCAAACCCTCCCATTTGCTCTAAGGTACAATGTACAATTTCTCTTGAGAGAACACCCACTGTTGCCAGTGATGGATTACCTGAGTAGGGAAGATGGAAGTAACAGAGCTTTCTTTGTACTGTTTGTACCATATATGTTTGATTCTAAACACAAACAGTTAAAGAACTGTTTACTAAACAAAGAATCTCTTTACAAATGAGAATTGTTTTGGGCCCCCCTGGTGGGGCAAGCAGTTAAACACTGCACTATGAAGCAATCTGCAGCATGAGTTTGATCCCCAGTCCGCCAAGGAGCAATCCACATGGCAACCTCTCCTGTCTCGCCCGCTGCTCCCCTCAGCAGTGTGTTTCAGTCAGTCTGCCTGTTTTGTTCCCTTTTCTGTCTCTGGTGAGTCCGCTCACCCTCCCGCATCTCTGGCCTGTACCCTAGCTCTTGTATGCATAAATAAATCAATCTTAAAACAAAACCTTAAAAAAACCAAAAAAAAAAAAAGAGAATTGTGTGTGTGTGCACATAGACAACAACACACAGATCCCTCTTCTTTTCAAGCCCAGTATATGTTTAAAGCCAGGATTTTCTGGCTTTGTATGTATCGCACTGGGCTAGCAAAACAAGAGCTAGATAATCAGCACTGTTTCTCAGAGAAGAATTCCTGTTAACCGTTCCCCCCAAAAATCATGATGGGGAAGTTCCATGGAATGTATATAAAATACAATAGAGTCTTGAAATGTATCTAGGTTGGAATTAAGGGCATTCCATTAAATACAGCAAGGAATTATGTCTACAGAAGTGTCTGCCTGGTTTCTGCAGAAGTCCAAACTTTAATATTGTTTAACCACTCACAATAGTAAAATAGTGAATATAGATGGATATTCCATCTATTGGAATTAATTGCCAAGCCATACATATATAGTGATGATCTTGCTAATTGTATGAGGTGGTACTGGAGATGTCAGAAGTCAAAGATCTTTGTGACAGTAACATAAGATTATTTTAGTGAATAGGGCCTCCCTGGTGGCGCAGCGGTTGAGCGCTGGGTTGCGAAGCTGCCCGCGGCCTCTGCGGCGCCGGTTCGATCCCCAGCTGCTCCCCGGCCACCGGAGGAGGGTCCCACATGGTGCGCAGACCTCTCCTGCCGCCCACTGCTTCCCTCAGCAGTGTACTTCGGTCCTTCTGCCTGTTCTGCTCCCCGCTCTGGCTCTGGTGAATTCTCTCTCCCTCCCGCGCTTCTGACTGTACCCAGTGCATGTATAAACAAAACAAACAAGCAAACAAACAAATAAATAAATAAATAAACATGCCTCTAAAAAAAAAAAAAAAAAAAGATTATTTTAGTGAATAAATAACTTGAAAATAGATTTCATTCTAGACCTTTATTATCTTAATCTGTATAAATTTAGGATGACTGTCTTACTTAGCCAGTGGTATCTATTCATGAGAGACCTGAATGCCCTGGAATGAAATCCAAATGATGTCTAGCTATTGCTACTCCTAACTTAACCTATCACCAGGGAAAACCAACCTCTGTCTCTTGGGTGGGCTAGGTTGAAGTTTTGATAGCATTGCTTATTTTAAGAGCCTTGCATCAGTATCTTGCTGATAGTTTCACTATGTTTAAGCTGGTGTTTTGGCATTTGGCCAACACCAAAATGAAATTTACTTGATTCAGTAAGTGAATGGATGAATAATTCTGCTGTGCCTCAAAATTCACCTCTTATTGCCTCTTCAATAATTCTTGGTTATTGGGCAGCCTCTAAAACGTAATTGTATTAAGACCACGTGGATGGAATTAACGTCTTCAGGAAATTGGGATATAATTTGGGAGCTTTGCCAGGAATTGCCTCAGAGAAGCAGCCTGTGGCCCCTGACCTCCACCCAGGAGCACGTCGTGCTGGTTGACATGCGTCTCCTGCTTCATGACAAGGGTGGGTTCAAGGACACATCTTTTTAAAACTTGCAGCAGTACAGGATGTTGGCGCAGTTTTCACCCCATCTGCACATCAGAGTCACTATCTCTATCTCAAAGTCACTATCTCAATCTCAAACCAATTTAATGAGTTTCTCTGCAGTGGACTTCGGGCATCAGTTTTGAAAACTTATTAGAAGAACCACCACTGTAATATGCTTCGACTCAAGCCGTCCTGGAGTGGGGAAAGGTCTGCTAAACGAAGTGTTTCTTCTAACTATAGGTGTTGTCAACACTGAAGTTTCCAGGAAAGATTTAATTGAGCAACCACTGTTTTGTGCTAATCCATTGATCTCTGTACATGCTCTTGCAACCCCCAAGAATCTATATGGTGTATGTGTTGCTTCCCTTACACTGTTTAATGTATAGTGTTAGGGAATGAATTCCTCTCTGCCCCACAAGCCCAGCCTGCTCTGTTTCCCTTGAGCTGTTAGCAAAGTTGTAACACTGTGTTTATAGGGAGAAAGGAACATTTGTTGGATGTCTCCCTTATGCCAGACTGCTCTAAGAGAGCTCCTATGTGCTATCTGCTTGAACCCTCATGCCCATAGAAGGAAAAGGAAGCTGAACCTTTTCAGGTTCACTTGGCTAGCAGAGGGGCAGAACTAGTTTGGGACCAAGTTCAAAGTACATGATTCTGTCACACTAGGCTGTTTGTTACCTGATCTGCCAATCTCCCTTATCACTAGGGATGAAGATGACGAGTGTCTTGATGAGTGTATGGAAGAAAAGTGCCCTAGTATTCTCCCAGTATTCTCATCCTGATTGAATGTGGAAACCTACATTCTCTGATGGCAGTGGAAACCTCAAATGTAGGGACAGCCCGAGCTCTTGCAATCAAAATGGCTGACCGGGAACCAAGAGCCTGCTGAATCACTATCTCAGAAACTTGGAGTTGGCCTCGTGGCTGACTAGACAGGCTCCTCGTGCTGTAGAGGATGGGGCTTCTGGAGGAGCTCCCTGTCCTTGTCAGTATCTTAACTGCACCTGAGCCATACTTACTACCAAGTTTTAAAAGTTTGTTACTATTGGAAAATACATAAAACCTTGACTTCCAACTGTGGTGTTGATAGAAGTAGCTTCTCAGCCAGGATTGGAAGTCTAGTTTTACCAAAAATGACTTTTTTCCAGAGAAACTGTACTAGCCCAAAAGGGTGCTGCTTACACTAGAATGGGAGACAGAGAAGCGGCAGGAAGGCCGTTGGGCTCACTGTTAGAACGTAGCTTCTGCCTCCGTGCACCCTGCTTTCTGTTCTCAGGCAATGATTTTACTTACCTCGTCTCGCTAATTGTTACCTCTCCTATCCCTCCCTGATCTAGTCCTTGCTTATCTTCCTGCTTTCATCTCTTATTCAGAACCTCTTAGATATCACGTATGAAGTTATTTAAGGTTTTTTGCCCAGGATATGAATTCAGGGCATGTATCGGACAGAACCGCATGACTGACAGGGGATTAACCTGCGCGCCATGTGGGATAACAGGGTGCTGTGGCCAGTGCTAAGAGTCATAAAATGAACTTTGAGGCAGGGTCCTTGCTTGGAGAGAGGAGAACTGAGCTGTCACTTGAGTCACTCTGTCCTTATACTCCTCTCCTTGAGGAGAGGAGGGAGTTGAGGGGTTGTTTCCTTTTCTGAAAGCTGGTTGAATAGAATGATTTCCATTTTTAGCAAGTCTGTCCATGAAATAGCTGAATAAGAAAGACTTTCCCCTCACTCTTTGGAGCTGCCATCAGAGCAGGCTGAGATGAAGTTTCCTGCCCTTGACCTGGCTTCTCTGCAGTTGTTAGTTGGATTCTGAGTCTGCAACCATTTTTGTGTCTGTGCCCAATGTCATTTCCGCTGATGTGAAGTGTGAGTTTAAGGCTAATCTTGGAGGCCAATGTAGCCACATATGAATCA